CACACACACACACACACACACACACACACACACACACACACACACTCTCTATGGTCTGCTCAGGGGAATGCAGTGTCCTGAAATAAATTAAATTCCTTTTCCTCTTTCTGAATTAGATAAGACACCGTTAAATTAAATTTGCTCTCTGACACTTGACAATGAGATTATTCTAATTTTAGAATTTTTTTCCGGACTTCGCCGTGGTCCACATCATTTTAGCTGTAGGTGGTTTGCTTTGTTAGTTTGGGCCTAATGGTGACAACGTGTGTTTTTTTTAATCGCTCTCAGATGAGCCGCCAAATCGACCCACGTGGCATAATAGGCGTGACGCGTAAAGCCAGTAAACGTGCAAAAAATACCTGTTTGGAGACATCTGCCGAGTAAGCTTAAACAATGCATTTCAAAACACAGGTTCTGTTTGGCTTCTTAGCTTAAGTGCTAAGCTGCAGCTTTACTTTGGGCTCGTCTCTCTTTCTCTTTACAGTAGTTCACATTAAAAACCCGAGAAACACTTTTTCCAGGTTTGTAGCCAGTCGGCTCAGAAAAGACGACCTCCTTGGCCCCCTGCCAGTGACACGCTTCACTTTTTGACATCTCCCCCCCGCTGCAACGATCCGTTGCCTCTGTGTCAGTCTCCTCTTTTTGCTTTTATCTTTCCTTGTGCATTGCCTCCAATTTTCTTTGCCGTCTTTGTCTCCCTCCCCGTTCTTCGCCCCTCTTACGCTTTGCCTGTCCAGCTGATGCGCAGCGCCTCGGGGAGCACGAGCAGGCCTCCGTTTCAAACACCACTCTGAACGGCGGTGCCACTCACCAGCCGAGGCGGCGCCTCTGACTCGCGGATCCCGGTGTGCCTCACTTTGTATCCATTTAAAGCGGAGTGTGTCAGGCCAGCGATGGTATTTACAAGTAGTAGCAATACTCACAGGAGTCCCAGGTGACTTGGACTTTACTACATAGTTGAAGTGCCGATGAAATCCTCCCACAGCTGTGGCACACTGCCGAATGCAATGTGGGAAATGATACCCACAGATAATAACGGGCACATACATACATTGTATCACACACAACATTTGTTGTTTGTTTTAATTGAATCACTAAAAAGGTTGGGTAGGTGAGGCTTTCATCCGACCAAGGCCTCTGGTGGCAGTGCATGTCACAACTAATGTCTTTGAGAACAAAGACGGTCAAAATCATACAGTTTTATTGCCAGCAGTGACTGTTGATTTCTTCTGACCGTTCGGCGGACTTCAAAATGTAAAAACCTCTGTCAGAGAAAAACAGAGAGAGAAACACTAAAACCTCAAATGGATGATATTTCCAATATTGTGCTTGACTGACAAATATATGACCCTTTGCATGTGTGCTTTTAAAGGTCTAAAGGTCCAGACAGGAGAAGGAGTGGACATGCAGGTCAACATTGGGGATGTAAGTAAGATGGTAGAAAGAAGGCCCAGATGGAGAGGGAGAGAGACACAGAGAGAGAGAGAGAGAGAGAATGAGGGGGAGCGATAATAGGATTTAACAGGAAGAAATGGTTGACTATGGAAATATTTAGAAAGCTCATAGCTGATAGACTGCTAGAGAGTAACGGTCAGCGCTCAAGAGGCAGTGTGTTTGAATGTAGGAACGGGCCTTCAGTTACTATGGCGACAGGGCTATTACAGACTGACATTTAACCATCGCCTTCTCTGTGTCTTGAGTGGGTGGTTTACGCTTATAACTTCCAGCCTCGTGTACTGGGAGGAACTTTTCCCCGCTTACTCACTCTATGCTAATCTCTGAGCTAGTCAGCCAAGATGCAGAGATGCAAAATTAGATGCAGCACATCGGAATGAGAGGAATTCATGAATGAGAATGTTTCCTCTCATGTGCATTTCTGGTGCGATCAACGCTTAAGGCAGAGTACGTCACGACCTTGCTGAACTCGCTTGTTCTTGATTTATTTTTTACTATCCAAAGGGACCACTTTGACGTTTCTTAGTCCCCGATCTAACATTAACTTTGCTGTTACCATTATGATTGCGTGGGTTAAAGTTAAAAGGTAATAAGAAGGCCCCTGGGCGAGTTGGTTGTACTACACCAACACGCCCTGCATTCATAGACATACATCATGTGACCAGTGATGTAATCTTGGATCAAGATGTTGTAATCTTAAGGGAATGATGGACGCAACTATAGAAATAAGGCCCATCTTGGAAAAAGAAAACATGCTTTTCGTGCAATTGTTGCAAGTCACAGACACACAATGACGCGGCGGCCAGGGATGACGTACAACAAGTGAAGGACACGCAGCTTCGCCTCCACCCTCTTCCTGTTAGTCTTCCCCACCTCCCTCATTTCCCTTCTACTATTTGCAATGAGCTTCAGGTTTTTTTTTCTACCATCACTCATCGGGATGAGGGCAGCCGACCAGCGGCCTGCGAGTGTGTGTGTGCGCGTTGGTTCCGTTGTCTGCGTGGGCAACCGTCTGTGCGCGAGCGTTGTGAGTGTGTGAACATGTCAGGGTCTAGCTGCGAGGGAGGGGGGGGCGGCGCGAGGTGCTGCTGAGATGGGAGGGAAGGAGAGACGGGTGGAGGAAGGGAGAAAACGGGTGGTGACTGCTTAACGTGATCATTGAGCAGCCATGTTCCTCCCCAGTCTCAATCCGTCCGCTGGGCTTCTCCCATCTCCTCTCCATCTCCATCATGACTCCCCTTCCCGGCTCGTGCATTTTAAAGGTAATTAAGCTGATATGTGAGCAGTGAGCACATTTTAAATGTCCACAAAAAAAAAGAATGGGATATGCTGCCTCTATAATTGCATTCGCTGTTAGGTGGTGGTGTTTAAACCTCCTCCTCCTCTTTCCCTTCCCTCCCTCCCTATTTTACATGCCTCCATCTCCCTACACCCTTCTTCATCTTTTTTCATCACCCATCCGTCTTTGAAATGTTCTTTCTTCCGTCCTACTCATCTGCTTGTCCTTCAACTCTCTCTCCCTCCCTCTGTCTCTCACCCTCCCTCCCGCTGTAATGACTGAGAGGCTGCAGACCAGCAGCAGCAAGCAGACACGAAACACACACAGTCCCTCATAGCTGCGCTCCGAGGGGCACTTGAGTGTGTGTGTCTGTGTGTGTGTGTGTAGTTTGGGGGTGTGGAGCATGGCTGGTCTCCCGGGGGGCCAAGGTTGTTTCGAGGGTCACAGAGGAAGCCGCTATGGGAACAACAAGTCCTGCCTTGTGTTTCATTGTTGTGGGCACCGTAAAATATATGTTTTTGCGTGTTATTAATTTCCTTTGACGTCCACAACGTGAATTAAGTCCCAGAAGTTATTCCCTACACAAGCTGTAAGTCATACTGTCTTAAACTATATAGTAAGCTATGGTATGTGTTTAAAATGGTTATTGTAAAACATAGGCAACGAACTGAACGTGAAAATAACAGCACCGACGTTGCCACATAATTCATTGTAGCAACAGCAGAGAACTCGCTGGTATCAATCAGAGTAAGTGTGGAACCTTCAGGCGTCTTCGCCCCCGGGAAATTAAAGGAAAGACCTACATCAACCATGGAATGGCTCAACGAGCCTCCAGAGTCCTGCTGTACCGGAGGGATGAACGACATTCTGCAAAAAGACACATCCTCCACTTGGTGTTTTGAAGGCGGGGGGGCATTGACATGCCTTCAGTGACCCTTCGTGGGCGCATCTGCATCGCTCATTTACTCGTGTTTCCTCTTGAATTTGTCGCACAACCTGTGTGTAAGGAAAATTATTTGGGGGTCTGACATCCAAATCACAGCTGCTGATACACACGAACAGTACAGAATAATGGATGTATTTCCTTTGGAGGCTAAAGTGCGCAATTGAGCCTGAGCGGGGGTCGAACTTTGCACGGAAATGACAAAACAGGGTCCCGCTCCCTTCACAGATCGGGATGTTGCTTGACTTTGGTGGGAAAATTAGGATCTCATAAGAACGAGAATCCGCTAAATAAATTGGTATCACTTTACTTTCCAATCGCGGCAGTGTGACATATTGCGTTGAGCAAAACACGTCTCAGCAAATGATCCCTGAGATTCTCACGCTCCATCCCTTTAATATAACATAACAAATGACAAATTCGAACCGTATAACAAATTCACAATTACGCTTATGACTCGCAACTACAGAGTTCAGGAGTTATCATCAGGTGGGTTGTGCAAAAAGTCCAATTTGCTGGTCCCCCTGTTTTCCACCCTCTGTATACGTAAGAAGCAACAATGTACTCTTTCAAGCAACTTGATGCGCACATCTTAGCTTAACTTCTACATCCACCAAGTGACAACAGTGTTTTGAAAACACCCAGCGGGTGGTGGTTTGCCTCCTGAAATATTTGTGTAGTTTCAACCACATCCAAGGGGGATGCTTTCCCCGTGCTGCATGCTTAATGCTGCTGGAGATGCATTTCCACTCTGCCTAAAAATATCTGGGGCGAACGGCTTGGACGTGACCGTGGCAAACAGTTGGTGACAGAAGCTGTGGCTCACGAGCCACGCTGTTTTGTCAGCATGTGGCGAGCCGGTCGAGCCAGCGAGTCTGTCATACAAAGCTCTGAACCTCTCCTTTTATCCTCTTCTTCTCATCTCAACTCCCTGTTTGTAGAGCCGTATCCATTACCGCATCACGGTTCGGTTAACGCTTCTACAAACACACTGTGCACAATAATGTTGAGTTTATGGAGGGATGTGATGAATGATAAATGGTCTGCGTGAAATAATTCAGAAAACAAGTGTGGTTCTCTCCATGGTGCTGAAACTCATGTGCTTCAGTCAGCCTATCCATCTATCCGTTTATCCATCTATCCATCCGTGTATCCATCTATCCGTTTATCCATCTATCTAACAAGAATAAGAGTCAATTTCTCAATTGCATGCATGACTCAACAAGCAGATGTATCCGTAACACCCATCTAAAAGACCCAGGGAAGGGCAAGTGAACGTATCTGCAGGCGCAATGTTATTTATTAGAGTGTGAGGACTCTTACCTCCAGAGATAAGAGGAATTCACCGGGTCACATTTAGGGTGGCGGCGGCTCCTTGGAGCTCAGGTTCCGAGCTCTGCTGGTTGTACTTTGTTGTCAACCTCAGTCACTTAATAATGAGGGCAACAGCACACACAAAAAAGCCCCAAATGTCAGCAAAGTAATCAGCCAAACACTGATGTGTGACAGCTATCGAAGTAATGGAGCTGACTTAAGTAGAAATAACCCAGGCTGGGCCTGATCCGCTTTAGTTGTTGTAAAAAAAACAGTATAAATAAAAAAAAAACAGACCAAACGTAATACACGTCCGTTGCGAAATGTTCCTTATTCTCTGCTGCCAGACTACTTTTCCGGGCACATCCTTGGCGTGCAAAACGTTTTCCTGTCCAATTCCAGACTCGAAAGAAAGACTAAAAAACACCCCAGAGACCAGAAGGAAAAAAAAAACCCAATCTCCGTGGAAACGACGTGGGAGCGACGCGCAGTTCCATCCACCGCTCGTCTGGAGTTGTTCGAGCAGCAGAGACTACAGCGCACCCGACAAAATAAATCACTCCTACGCAAACATCATCATCACCACCATCGGCAGCATGTGTGTCGGAGGAAGAGACCGGAGGACAAATCTCGACATCTCCATTTAAAAAAAACAAAACAAAAAAAACAACTGCCACCGTCCGACTGGGGGGGTCGAGGTCAGCTGTTCGCTTTGCACCGTCGCTCCGGGTTCCTCCGACTCGACGCGTCGACTTTTGTTTCTCCTTCTCCTTTCAATTCTTGCTATCAAAATGTATTCGTCTTATCTCCTGCCTCCCGCCGGGGTGTTTCGCTCTTTGCGCCTCATGTTTGGCGAACAGCAACGCGCGCCCAGTCGCTGCGGGGCCACGACGTGTCTGCAGCTTTTGCTGGTCCTGCTAGAATAAAGGCTGTATATATTTGATGCACGAGGTTTTTTTTGTGTTGGGTGGGCGCGTGAGGGGGAGGTAGGGAGAGGGGGGGTTATTTGCCGGTTTCCGCAGAGCGTGCACGTGCGGCGCCCCGCGACGACGTGTTCTCGTGCGTTTTGAATGGAGACGCGGCTCCCGGTGCCTGCAGCGACGCGGCGAGGCAACGCGACCCGGAGAGATGGCGCGTTAGTCACGGGCTCAGAGCGGCTGTAGGTGGTGGAGGAGAGGGGGGAGGGGGGCTTAAAGGGATTGAGTGATGCTGTATTTTTAGATCGGGGATGTGCCTGTGACATTTACACATCGCCATCGAAACAATTAGAAACCATAAAGGTCACCATCAAGATAAACAGCCGAAGAAATAAAGAGATACGTGCAGCGGGGATGGAGCGGAGAGAGAGCAAGTGCACCTTTAGTCCTCTAACAAAAGTCTGCAAATGTACAAACAGGAGACCCTCACGCAGCCACTGGAGATTAAATGTGAGAAATCAGTACGTCCTCCTTGCCATATATACTGTATCTTTGACAAGCAACTCTATAAAGTCCAAAGTGGAAAAGCAAACAGTCCCTCTGTCTTGAACAAAACGTTTATGAAATTAGCAGCAGACATAATGAATGCAAACTGTTACTACTTTTGTCCTCTCTCTCTCTCTCCCTCTCTCTCTCTCTCTCTCTCCCTCTCTCTCTCTCTCTTTTTTCACCTCTGACTTTTCGCTCATCATCTCTTCTCATTACTCAATCCACCACTACAACGACTCGCCCATTCAGATCAGAAGAAGGGGCAGTTCGAGGCAGCGTTAAGAGTAGCAGAGTGAGTTTTCATTGCATTCATTATTCAAACACCCAGAAGTGGAGATTAGTGCACTTTGAGAGTGGGCTGCTGTAAAATATTTATATCAGTAGAGAATGAGATGGTTAGATTTGTCATGTTGATGTCAACTCTGCTTTTATCCATTCTGTGTGTGTGTGTGTGTGTGTACATTCACATGCTGGGGGAGGGAAGCTCATATGCTGAGATAAGTCAACAGCAACATTTGAATTAAGCTTTGATTTTTGGTTTATTTTCAGAACGTGAACAGTGACGTCAAATAATATCATCCACCTTAACAAGCTGCTTTAAAAAACAGGAAAACTGGCCATCTGTCGTGGGCCCCGTGAACACTACGGGTGTCCCATAATATGGTATATTGCTGTGTGACGTGCTGACTTTATCAATCTACTTTTTGTGGTTCTATTAAACTACAATGTTACATGAATCTCACAACCCAGCCTTGAGCAAAGTTGCAAGGAGCAAAATACAAAATAAAGTTGTGCTTTGATGCATTACTGCAAAACGGTAACTGTGGTAGGTCTCTGCATGTTTGACCATTTAATGAAGGTGATGGGTTTATTACAGAATTACAGAATGTTCTTAAATCCACTCTCCTGATTTGTGAGGCTGTTTTTGTGAAACGTGTAACTCTGGTGTCCTTTCGTCACTTGGTTAGAGCAACACAATATCTGATGCAGTTTATGAACAGGTTGCACGTATTGCATTATTATTTTGTGTAGCATTATGAGTGTCTAAATGCATGTTAACCATTTATTCATAACAAAAAACTTGAAAACTATGTTCATAAGCTAAAGCTCAGTTGTGGCATTGACTTCATCCACAGTACGTGTTTGTTTTTGTGTTTGACCATGCATCAGATTATCCTAAACAGAAAGCAAAGCACGATGGGAAACTTTAGAGAGCAATATCTGGATTTTTCTGGGAAGGATAATGTCAGATAGACCCTCAGGCATTTTGCGAAAAACCCACAAAAACCAAGGACACGATTACACAAAGAACCATTATTCTCTCCTAAAATCTGTTCTCCCCATCCCCCATTCCATCCTCCTCTGTCTCTGTCGTTGCCTCTGGATGACAGCTGACTTAACGGCGTTCACGTCTGCTGACGCATCAGTAGCGGAGACAGTGAGATAAGTGTGCATCTAAGAGAAATGACTTGGCAGGAAGAGAGCGACAGAGAGTGATCAGCAGTAGCAGAGAGACAGAGAGCGAGTGAGAAGGTGCCGTGGTGTAAAAGACGGAACGAAACAGAAAGGCACACAGAGAAAAGGATTAATAAGCCTAAAGTGAAGGCCAGAGACACACATCTGGCCTCGGGGAGTAACAGCCTTTATCACATTAACCAGTCTGTGCCTCTGCGTTCTGTTCTCTCCGCTTACCGCTCGGATCCAAACCTTTTCCTTTACGGAAAATGCATTTAAACGTTTGACGTCAAGTACGCCGTGTACTTGTATGTCCCGCACTCGCCCTACAGCACACTTGAGGACGAGCTTTCCCTGGAAAACAAGGTAGCGTGTCCTGCCAACCGTCCATCCATCCACCCTGGACTTGTCCAAATCCATTTGACTGAAAAGAATGAAAGCACCGCGCTGTAAAGAAGAGCTTCACTGCCCTCTCTGGTTAGGAGCCTGTTTCACTTGGGTGTGGCCAGCATGGCCCTTTCTAACCTCTGTAACCACCCCAACATGCATGTCCCTGGGGGGACACCTGTACATACCTGCAACCACATGCTGTCTCTGTCTTCATTTTAACCTCTTCTTAAAACCTTTCATAACCATTTAAAGCTGGTTTTAGAACAAAATGTATTTGTGTTTTTATAACTTGTGTATTTTGCGTGACTTTATTAAAATCCATTTCCTTATTTTGAACTGTATTTGTTTCCGATATTCTGCGGTTTGTTCGACTGTGTGTTTGTTTTGCCCTAAATCCGGCTTTTGTGCAAAGTCAAGCTCCCCCGTTTGAAATCTTTGACATGCTGCAATGTTTTTCTGATGTGTGTAGAATGTGGGCACAGGCCAAACAGCACAAGCACACACACTTTTCTACAGGGGCTTTACTAACCTTTCAAAACCAACCGTGAATGTGTCTCCCGTGTGTTTGTCACCCAAAATTGACACTTTGATTAGGTCTTCTGCTGCTTGAGGCGGTGGCTTGAGGAAAGAGCCCAATGCAGCGATGCCTTGTTGTCACCCCTGCAAGTGTTTGCTGCCCGTGGAATCTACATCGAATAGTCAAATAGTCAACAGGCAACGCAAGAGTTTATGAAAAAATGGTGTCGTTTTTCATAAAATGCACAAGTAAATGAATTATACATGCAAATAAAATGAAGACAGAGATGGAGCGAGCAATAAAGTTGAGTTAGTTGAAGCAGATTGTTGTTGATAATGTCCATGGTTGAATTAGGATCAATTAGGGGCGGGCAGATGTGCAGAATCATGGTTGACCCCGGGGGCTCAAAGGAGACAATCCAATTTTCCTCAACAAATGTAATACCATTAGAATGGATAAAAACAGACAACTCACGAGGGAGGAGTGTCTTAAAAAGCAGGGAGAGGGACGAGACAGAGAGAGACAGAGCAGTTGTTCAGAAGGAGGAGACAATACCAGACAAGACTGGAAAGATTAGTGAAACTCAAACCAAAGTCAAATCTGACAGCAAACGAGTGCCCGTGAGGATAGAAAACATGTCAAGAAAAGAGTAACCCACCTCACGTCACCACTGCAAGGGAGACACCAGCCAACGGTGGCCATAAAGGGGACCACAGCTGAAAAGACAAAACAAAACCAGCGAGTGTTTGAGAGTTAAACCTCTTACAGAACTACAGCGCCGCAGACTTTGAGAGACAAAAATCCATCTGCTCCGGCGGCGATTGAGAGCCGTCATTTAGGGCTATGAGAATCTGCAACAAGAACCTCCGCCTCCAGGACGTCACCATCATGTACTTCACAGCCCTGGCTGCTCTGATGGTCATCCTGGTGGCTTCGTACCAGGCGCCCTCCAACGCCATCGAAGTGTCCGGCCTCAAGTCAAACCCCTCCAGCGCTCCACCGCGGCTGCCCATGCCCTTCCGCGTGCCCCTGGACCCGCACGGGGATCTCCAGCTGGCCTGGAACATCAGCTACGCCGACCAGGAGGTCTACATGGAGCTGAGGGTGGCGGACCTCCAACACGGCGTGGTTCTGGGGATGTCCGACCGCGGGGAGCTGACCAACGCCGACCTGGTGGTGCTCTGGGACTCCGGGGCTAATAGCTACTTTGGGGTAAGCAGGGATGTATGTTAACTCTGTAATCTGTCTTCTAGGGTTAGGGTTAAATTTAGCATTTTAAATAATTTGGCGAGACAAATAAAAATAAAAATATATCCAGATTACCTGAAGTCTTTCCCCTAAAACTGGGGATATTAAGCAGTTTTCTACATAAGGTGTTTATTGTCATTTTTACTTTTTTTCACTCAAAAGTCAAATAGATAAATCCAGAAGGATTACATGGAAGTCCTTTAGGAATAGAAGTTCCCCTCATCTGTCTGTGGTCGCCGAGGCGTCACGTTGGTGTTTTTGCATGAGGAGCCGGCGGCTGGCGGCTCGCTTCATGATCCCATAGTCACTAAGGATGTTATCAACGCATGCTAATTGGAAACCAGTCAAACTGCACTAAAAGCTGAAGTTCTTTGGGGAATCATGAGCAGTTATTAGCATATCAAAATTGAATCCTGTAATGATTGAGATGTCTAAAATTTCTTTTTTTTTGCCGCATAAAAGGCTTTACAATCTGACATTTTTGTCTGAAATTTCCAGATGAACTTTTCCAGAAAACAATTAATATTGCCATCAAAATCGAGTTCACAGCTTTTTAAGTAAAAATCTTCTTCCTTAATGACCGACTAATATATAACACATCAGTTACTCTCATTGAGCACAGTGAATCTCAGTTAGAACGTTAATGTCCAAAATAAAAAATAACCGCAATATGAACAACAAAAAAAATGTATAAAGGGTTTGACATCGGTTTCCTGTATTAGCTCCTGCATATTTTCTGTTATTGTACTTGTTTTCAACCATCTATTAACAAGCATTATAGTGTTTAACATGAACTAACCAAGCAAATATTGTTCTTATATCTAATTCACATGTTAAAAAGGTTGGAAATCCCCTTTGGGAAAGGTTGTCCTCAAGCCTATAGTACAGCAGGAGAGAGGATCAGAGTGACCAAACCTGTACATATGCCAATGTGAGGAGTGTTATAAGACAAACTTTCTTTTACCCAGCATGTTTCTTTAATTATCAAAAGAACGATATGACTCTGTCCACCAGTCATTCGCAGGTTTTAGCTTTATTGTGTAATAACACACGGAACAGACACTGCATACTGCCCACATTTCTTTTCAGATTTATATATAATTTATTCATTTTCGAAATCGTTGGCTTCAGAATCCTTTCGCGGTGTGTGTGGAACAGTTACATAAGAGGGGCTGAGCGGGAGACAGAAATACAGAGATCTTAGGTGCTATTCTGGACGGATATGTGTGTGAGAAACACACAAGTAGATAGACTGAGATGCTGCACGGCCTCCTGGCAGAGACGTGTATCCTATGGACAGGCTAGGAAAGGCTTATCAACACCTCTGTATCACTGATTACTCTGAAAAAATTGTTTTCGCTGGAGTTAAACTAGAAATTAACCATTAATTAACATTAAGAATGGCAACAGCCCTTCACTCTGGTTTAAAAAAAGAAGCTTTATTTTGTTTCTCAATACATCTTCCCAGGTAATAATTTCGTTTTCACTTAAATTCCACCACCGGTTATTTTTCTGCAATAAAGATAGCAGCCTCTTCTGTTTAGTTACGTCTCCCACCTGGTTGCAATTCAAACTGTCCCCTTTCACTTCTCTTTTATAATTCAACACGCTCCACACTACGTGTGTTTTCCTTCAGGATGCGTGGAGCGACAACGAGGGTCACGTTTCTCTGGACAGCCAACAGGACTACGAGTTGCTAGAAGCCAAACACAAAAGTGACGGATTCCACCTGCTTTTCAAGAGGCCGTTCAGTACCTGCGATCCCAGGGACTACCTGATAGAGGTGGGTGACACCTTTCCTTCTGTGCACATGACAGCGACCACGGGTCCGATGTTCACTAGTTAGAAGCATTTAGTTATGCCTCTGTCTCTCCTTTATATATATATATTTTTTAAATCTTGTGTGCACATGTAAAATGATCCCATAAAAAAAAATGACATAGCTCTTACATATATTGCACGACCTCAAGCCAAATCCGTCAATTCTAAACCGAATGAACGCGACAGTAAACAGGTGGCAGTAACAGGACGGGAAGGTGGGAAAGATGCCGTTTGAGTGCGTAACATAAAGACATGGTGTACTTGCGCTGTATATGTTAGCACGGTTTCCACTGAAACATTCCTCAAAATGATTATAGTTTCTCTAAGTTAACAAACCCAACGGTCATCAACGTGACAAAGAAATGAAAAATCTGTTTGCCTTCTGAGTGTTCCCTTGAAAAACACAGCTGCTGTTTGTGCTCTCCTTTGCAGCCATCATACGGGCTTTATTTTCTGATTATTTTTGTTGTTTTTTTGGCAAGGAGGGAACTGTGCACATCATTTATGGATTCCTGGACAAACCACTTGCCTCACTGGATCAGCTGAACTTGTCCCGGATCCACACAGGCGTTCAGAGGGTGCTGATGCTGCGGCCCGACACGCCGTCGCCCGCCCTGCCTCCGGATGTGCAGACGCTCGACGTAGTGGCGCCGAACGTCGTCATCCCGAATCAGGAGACCACCTACTGGTGCTTCATACAGGCGCTGCCTGAAAACATGCCAAAGAACCACATCGTCATGGTAGCTGATAAACGCCTCGCAAAATAGAAAACACTTCATTTTACACAGTAAAGGGGTTATTTTGGATGAAGAATGGACAGAAACATAAATCTAAGAATATGTACTAACACAACAAACACATCCGTATGATATTCTCTCAGAAATGTTAAGAACCTGATAATAAAAACGTACGGTATCATAAGAAATAGAAGCAGTTTCACAGTATGTCGCAAAAAACAACATGACGTGTATCATACATTTTTTTCTTGTATTGTAGATTCTCACTTTTTCACTTCTCGTCTCTCGTCTCTCTCTCTCTCTCCGTGTTCCCGTCAGTATGAGTCAGTGATAACTCCAGGTAACGAGGCCATCGTGCATCACATGGAAGTGTTTGAATGTTCTCCGGATGTCCGCGACGTTCCAGAGTACAGTGGCTCCTGTGATGACAAGATGAAGCCGGGCAAGCTCAACTTCTGCCGACACGTGCTCGCCGCCTGGGCCATGGGTGCTGAGGTATGGCGGGAAACGGACACCCACACACATCTCCTACATCACTTACTCCTGTCCTCAAGGGCAACCTTACACCGATTACATTCACGCCATGTTCCCTACTAAATTGCTACAAAACGTGTTCCCGCCACTTATCCGATTCTAACTTTTCTGATGAGAATAAAGTCAGAATCTAAAACCACTCCTCAAAGATGCAACAATCCACCCACGTGACACTGTTAGATAAAGAAGAACGAGTTTTCTCATTTGGTGTCTAATTGAAAAAGTGTCGGAAAGAATGTGGTTTCTGGTCCCCGGATCCACTACAATACACAAACAATAACTCCTATGCTATTAATGTCCAAGCCTAGAACAAGAAAACCTGGTAAAAATCCCACACACAGCACAAGTCTATTAAGAGCTCGGAGACAGTCTGTATGTGGGAAGTAAACTAGCATCCGAATATTCCCAGACTGGTTTAAACGGACACTCAACGACAAATTTAAAGAAATCGGTCATTTAGAAACAGGTAGAAGAGGTCAGATCATGGCTGAAGTTTGGCAAGTTGACCAGCTGGTTGGTCATCATTAACTACCACTGAAGACAGGAGGTCGTGTCCTGTTCTCCTCCTGTGCAGGAGGAACACGCCTCTGTTCTTAAGCCGTGTCAGTCGGTCATTCATCAGGCTTTAAATCTCCCCGCTTGTGTTCCGCCGCTTCTAACCAGACGGCTGACCGAGCGAGCGGCCCGCCGGTCACATAAAGCAGAGGGGACAGGAAGCGGTGAGCACATCACCGCGTTCCTCCGCTCCGCTCCCCCCTTCGGAATGGATTATCTGCCGGACGAACAAAAAAAAAAAAACAGCAAGATGCCTTCTGTGAGCCGCGAAGACGAGATTAGGTGGGAAATATTCAGGCCTCTTTCATCACCTCTTAATGTTGTTGTTTCATCCTCCCTGGCACCGCATCAGAAGGGGAACACGTGGCCTCGCGGGGAGAACAAACGGGAGGGAAACGGGACGTTTTGAAAGAGAAGGGAAACAACGGTATGAGAACACTGTCAGAAAAGAAGAAAAAAAAACACTGGAGAAAAAGAAATGCGTGTGCCCTGCTGATATTACCGCCACGACGTGAGACGTGATCAAATGAAACATTTCTCTCTTTCATTGCAAACTGCGTCTGCCAGCAGAAGCGGCTTAAGGTGGCCGGAAACAGGTGAGGGCAGGGATGTAAATGACACAAGTAGAATCCCATTTCCTTGATAAATGCATTAATGTTATGAACTATCGGGCAAGCAGTGGCTCAAAAAATATATTTTTTTCACAATAAGCAGAACATTTCAGACTCCACAGAGAAAAGAGGATGAAACACAAACTGTACCTCACAAGTCCAGCGTCTCAGTGGGCGCATCCTTATGAGAATACAGATAATGAATAAACGTGTTTTGAGCCTACTCCTAAATCCCTAAACAAGGCTGTCAAAAGAAAACATTTATTCAGACTTTGTGTCAATAATCACTTTCAAATCTCTTTCTTCCTCACAATCTGTCGCTGTTAGTATGTTAGAATCTGTGGGTGTTTGGGAGTTTGTCAGTGGCCATGCCATTATTTTCATCACCAAACATATGAAGAGAAAAGCAACAGGGGGGCCGTGGAGGCCTCTATGATCTCTGCAGTGAGGGCAAAACACACACAGTTAATTGGCCCATGTTTCATAGGAATATACATCTGGGTGACCATCAAAAAGGAATAACCGAGGATGCTAAAGAAAAGTGGGTTTAATAGAGGAGGCGGGAGGGTTAGGGATAAAAATATGGTATATGAAATACCGTCTCTGTCCAATTTTATTCTAATATAACATGTTTGCACAGCAGTAAATAAAAACAATCCACAAGTTATTGTGAAGATGTAAAATGCGAAATAGATAATACAGGAAAAACAGATATGCACTTGCATTGTGACGTTGTCATACTCATCAGCTGTCGTGCACGTGAAGACGTGTCGTTGCTATGACTTCAAAGTGGTTGTGTGAATAATGATGGGAATGTTTGTGTGTGTGTGTGTTTGCAGGCTTTTTACTACCCTCCGGATGCAGGGATGCCTATGGGTGGACCAGGTTCCTCAAGGTTCCTTCGTCTGGAGGTCCATTACCACAACCCTCTCCTTATTTCTGGTACATACAGCACATTTGCCACACGCGTTCTCGCTTTCCTTCTCTTTTACAAACACACACCCTCCACACACAGCGCATGTTCTTACATCATAAACAAAGTATTTCTTGGATGTTGTAACCTTCCATATCTTTCTTTGTGCAGGCCGTCGGGACTCTTCGGGGATACGGTTGCATCACAGCCCGAGTCTGCGGCGGTACGATGCAGGGATCATGGAGCTGGGCCTGGTTTATACTCCCATCATGGCTATCCCACCCAAACAACACACCTTCTACCTCAGTGGATATTGCACCTCCAAGTGTACACAGACTGTATGTATGCAGAAAACTGGGAAAATATTCCAGCTGGCATGCCACATATTTTCCCAGGTTTTGGTCCCTAAAGCAGAAAAATATTGGCTGGTGCTTGACCTTAAAATGTCTGTTTCTTTGTCCATCTGTTCGTCCGTCTAGGCTCTTCCTCCAGGAGGAATCCACGTATTTGCATCCCAGCTGCACACGCACCTGGCGGGGCGAGGGGTGAGGACAGTGTTGGTGAGGGGGGGCAAAGAGCTGGAGGTGATACAGGAGGACCAGCACTTCAGCACGCACTACCAGGTGAAGCCGAGGAACGCGGGGCAGAGACCCACCATTGTCTGTTCACTTCACACCACACTGCACCGTAAGCCAGCGGGCGAGAACAATCAATACCAATGTGCGATTTACCGGTATTATACAGAAAGTTTTATAGTTTTAAATCAGTCACAATCATAACAGGACAGCGGCATGGAAATAATGAATAAAAGTTCAACTTGACATCGGAACTGACAAACAACAACATTGACATTGTTTGGAGACAGACATCTGTTGTGTTTTTTTATTGCACAATATCCCAGGGCAGGTAGACGAGAGTACACACACACACACAACAGACACACACACACAACAGACACAGGGCAGAGAAGGACATCGGCTAGGTCGCCTGATAAAATCTCTAGCTGCTGTTGACGTTAGAATAATGAGAATGAATAAAGAAAGAAAGAATAATCAGAATGTACACGTGTGGCAGTTGTTGTTTCATATCCTGCAGCCTCATTATAGACATGTGAAGACTCTATAAAGCCATTTGCAGCAAAGCAAACAGAACTCTCCGAACACACAATCACGGCTAATAACTGTGAAAGCCGCCTCAAAGGAAATCATCAAAAGAAACCGAATGTTTCATTTTGCTGTATAAATATATGAATAAATCACTAAGTGTCCAATTATGCCCCAAATTAAGGTGGTGAAGCAAAATGTATTCTAGAAAGGAATTTTAAAAGCAATTCCATTAGGATTGGAAAAAACTACGACAATGTGCTGTTTTATTTAATGCACTGTGATCATTGGCATTATTCTAATCACATCAGCCTTAATTTGAGGTTTACTGCTCAAAAACCAGAATCCCCAAATTGAAGTTTCATTTTAATGCTGTGTGTTTGTTTTCGCTTTCTTACAGACAATCAGAGTTCTTAAGAAAATGGCAAATATTTTACCTGTAAGTATAAAGTTAACCCTTCACCTGCATTTGAGGGAAGCAGTGACTGTTGTATGTTTTAGTATTCCGCAAGCATTGCCGACTGCGTCGGAATGGTAGTGCCCCAGATGTAGATTTTTTCCTCCCCCTGCATTTAAAGTATTGAATTAGAATACCGCTCCGCTGTATAAGGTGTTTAACTGGAGTGGAAATAGGGACAGTCTGTGAAATTGGTGCTGTGATAGAAAGTCCTCAGGAGACGGAGAAGACAAAACCGCTGCAGCTGAGCCCCGAAAAGCAAAAAAAAAAAAAACCTCTGTGCTCTGGCTCTCTTAAATGACGTTCTGAGTAGCCTTAAATCACCCTCTATGGTCTTTGTCCTACAGGGCGATGTCCTCATAACAAAGTGTACTTACAACACAGAAGACAGGAGCACGCCTACAGTGGTAAATTCACCTTGATCAGCAACAGAACACTTCTGCATTCTTGGCCTTCGTTAATATTTCTTCCATCCCACGTATGCTCTTTGCACGTGTATCTACACCTTCCTCGACCTCAATCCAAATCTCTTGTGTCCTAAAAGGGAGGTTTTGGCATCATGGAGGAAATGTGTGTTAACTACATTCACTACTACCCTCGAACTAAGCTGGAGCTGTGCAAGAGCCACGTCGAACCAGAATACCTGCAGAAGTACTTTAGCTTCATTAACAGGTAGCACCTCTCTCTCAAAAATATTTTGCTTGCTGCCCTTCATTTCTCCATTGCACCTCCATCTGTCCAAGACCTTTTTGGTTTCAGCATCCCCCCCCACTGCCCTTCACTCCCGAACACACCAAAGATGTGATTACTTCTTCTAATCTAAAAAAACCAAAACACATGCTTTGTCCTTCAAAGTGAAACAGGGTTCTTCTCAATCCCCCCCGCCTCCGAGTTTCATCGACTTTCCTTCAACCCGTCTCCTGCTCTTCCCTCCAGGTTCCACGGAAACGACCGGTGTGTGTGCGGCGAGGTCGGCGTGACGGAGCAGTATTCTCAGCTGCAGTGGGACGCGTTCGCCGGAGAAGTGCTGGACTCCCTTTATAACACGGCCCCCTTCTCCATGCACTGCAACCAGTCGAGTGCGCGTCTCTTTCCTGTGAGCCCCTGATCACAAACGCTACGATCCACTGCCAAGCCACCGCCAAGCCACTGCCAAGCCACCGCCAAGCCAGTCAAGCCACCGCCAAGCCACCAATTAAACACTTAGACAGAATAGTCTGAACTTGCAACACACAAAGTTGTCAGGAGTATTCCCTTGAATGTATTTAATTCATTTCAAGAACAAAAGAGACACGTAATCCAATAATGGTGCCACCACTGGAAGGCAGTTGAAAGACTACAACTGCTTTCAAGATGGTTTGGGTGAAGCCATCATGCTTAAATAATCTCAAAGTAATTGAGCAGCGACAGTCAGGATATAGTCAGGCTGTCGGTTTTGTGGCGTTTGTACTCCATATATAAAAAAGGGCTCATCCCCTCAGTCTCCTGCGTCCAGAGACCGAGGGGGCAAAAGCGGAACATTTGGGATTGCTTAGTTATTGCACTCGTTTAAATATAGCTGTAGACACACATGCACACGGACTTTAACGGTTTTACCGCCCCTCCGATCACTTTACAGCATCCAACCACCCACTGCTTGGAGGAAATAATACTAACAATGCACCCGTTTTCACCTTCACTCAATGAGACGATTAGCAACGACATCGACGAAGCAATTGACACATAAAGTGGCAAAACACTGAACTGAGATTGCTAATTTCACACAGAAACACAGTTTAACTGGAAAATACACTCACAGAGAAATGGGCTGCAGTGTATTGTTCAAAAACAACTATGGAGTTATTTAATTAAAACCTACGGTTTAACATTAATCAAACCAATAATCACAATGTTATTTCTGCAGGGAGAGTGGGACATGCAGCCCGTGCCGCTGGTTACATCCATCCTTGAAAAACCCAGCTACCCCTGTGAGGGAGGAGCACATCCCACCAGCAGACCCCTCACACCCGGCGCCTGAGTGGACGAGGGGGGCATCGGGGCCCTCGGCCGCAGACGTTAAGGAAGCTTAACATGTCAGTTTGCAGAATCGAGCGCTGCTGCAGCTTCCTTTGGGGATCAAATCGAGTCCTCTTTTGGGGGGTTTTCCAACAACTGCTGCAGTTCTGTGCTTATAGCCTCCGTCCATGTTATTGTCAGTAAACAGAAATTAATGAGAATTCTATTTGTCTAGTTTCAAAGCACGGCACATGGAGTTGAGAGTGGGGATTTGACAAACAAATAAAAGTCAACTTCTACTGTGGTTTAACTTTATTACTCTTTTACATTTATTAGAAAGGAATAAAATTACTTCCATTTTCATTCATCCCGTTTGCGGTTTAACATTTTTATTTTCACTCTTTTAATCTTAATGCCACTGCGGGTCCTTGAATTGTTATTGTGTGTTAAATAATAAATGTCACACAGAATAACACAAATTCATTTATATGCATAATAATCAGGCATGACACTACATTTACTATTATAATGGTCTTTTTTGTTATTTGCACTGGTCAAATAATTTACTTAAGACATTTCACATTTATGGATAAACTGACTGCTTTCCATAAGAACGATTTCAGCAATATTCATATCACACCATGAAACACATTCTGTAAACTAAATACATACTGTGTAAGAGGACCCGAAGTCATGTTTTATTAGTCAGTTTCACATTTACCAACGACATTTTCTTATTAACCGAAGACACTACAGAGAGCGACCACTGCAGTGATTAATGGCCTTCTGGGCCGAATCCATGAATCATTCCACATTAGTAAACACAGCGAGTAATAGCAGCCCTACATACAAACGCCTCCTTCAACACAGACCTTTTCTTGGCTGCTGTTCACAGTGATGAACTTTGGGTTCTATTGGGCCGAACGTACCTGGCCAGCAAATATATGAATAGTTTAAAGTCCGATGTTTGTTTGACCCATCCAACCTCCACCCGCCCTGAACAAGCCCCAGTATTCAACCAGCTGGGAGACACCGGTTGGTGTAATCTAACCGCAAAAACGACAAGAAATGTGAGCTCTTAAGAATGCCTGAATTGGCAGACCAGTCTTAACGAATACGCTTGCATCTGTTAAAAAAGGGAAAAACTAGAACGGACTGCAGCAGACGTTTGATGCCGCAGAGCGCAACGGGGAACAAGAAGGTTCCATCTGTAACAGCTTCTTACTAAAAACCCCTTTCTTTCCCCAGCAGTGTTTTGTTCCCGGCTGGAACTCGATGCCTCAGGGTGCTTTTCTTCTCCATTTCCCTCCAACTCTGATTAACACTCCTTATTATCAGGACATGATAAATAGTCACAGTTTTTTTTTGTTTTTTTAAATCAAACTGCTTTAAAAAGGTAGTATAACGCTGAAGCATAGCTGTATCCTTAATATGATTATGTACGGCCTCATAGGTTGGATTTAAGACGAAGTATTAAAGCACTGCATCATAATACAATATAGTGCACAACGAGAACATGATTACAACGATGATCTACAATTATCCTGCAGCCCAAAAAAAAGGGATCCTGGAGCTCTTTCACAAACACGGGTGAAAAATTATAGTAATGATAACAACACATCATTCATACTAGAATCAAATAAGCACCCTTTATATTGAGTTACAGATTTTAGACAGTCTCTTCTCAGGCCAACTTTTATATTAAATGACAGACAAAATCTTCCAGTCCAGCACGTTAAGACTAAATCAGCTCCAAATACCACAGCGTCTGTCAGGCTCGTGCTCTGAACGCATGGTGTCCTCTTCAGTTTTCGCGTGCGTGGTGCCTCTCACGCATAGATGCCCTTGATGCGTTTATTCTCGGGGTCAAATGGAGATTTGAGGTGGGCTTTGGCCTTGTACGTCACTCCCATCCTCTCCAGTGTAAACTCCCCCTTCTTTATGAAATCGGCGCTCACCTGTCAAGGAGAGGAAGAGATGGATCAGAGGATGAACACGTTTTTGGGAGATGAGGAAACAAAGGAGATTAAAACGTTGAGTGAAAACGAGCTGACCAATTAATCCACGCGCTTTGTGAAAATAAGTAACTCCAGAACGGACGATTTCACGGCGTTCGTATCCGACAGAAGAGAGCGGCGGTTATGAAAACGCTGAATTCGATCCGTTCAGTCGCGAGACGATGTCGGCGCCCTCGGACCCCATAGAGCTCATTTTCACTGACTGACTTCCTCCCTGCAGCTCTGCCACTGATCCGTCATTCACGCACAAACCCAGAGCTCAGATTTTACTGCCTCCACGTCCAAGGAAGTAAATCCTACAACGGCTCTTTGACTCAACTTAATTAACGAGCTTGCCCAACAGTATTTGATGGTGTGGTGCACACACGCTTAACAGTACGTCCACTCATTTCCCATTGACTGCATCCCCCTCGTCAAACCACACACGCACAAACAGTCCTCGCAGTCTGACCGCCAACGCTGCTGCGGGATACATTTTGACGGTGAACTTCCTTAGTTACCGCAAACACCACAGAGCCGCGGCAGGGCGAGTTGAAAGAGGGAAACAGGAGGAGAAGGAGGACAGGAAGAGGACTTGACCACAGAGGAGTGCAGACACAATTTATTTCTATCCGTTTGAGAGAGACGCTTCTCCCACACACACTTACTTCTTCAGAAGCCGGTGTGATTGAAGTGGATGCGTTGTGTCATACGGAGTGACAGGAGACAAGATCCCTTAGACCTGTCCGTCTGCGTTTGTGTGTTGTCTGCGTGTGTGTGTGTATGTGTGTGTATGCAAAGACTTAAGCGCTCAACAAGGCCACGGGCCAATCGGCTTTGTTTTGTATTGCTGGTCCCGACTCACACACGCGCACACATCCACACACCAGGGCACACATGCTATCGCACACACGTGCATGCGTGTGTGTTTCTACTGAGCATATAGTCACAGGTGTAAAGTAAGTAGTGGCACATGGCCGACAGCCTGAGGCGTCGATGGCGCCTAAAGGGAATAAAAGGAACCTAATGCACCTTCCAGCTCACATTCTTGATGGAAAAAAACAAAAAAAAACACTGAGTAATTGATTTGTCTACATAACACATTAAACTGATCAATTATTTGTTACTAAACTCAAAAAATAGAAAGATATTTGTGATATTAGAATTAAGAATTAATTGTTATCTTTATCCCCCTTTTCTAATAAACACCCAGTGGGATTATCTCATTATTCTGGAAAACATTTTTTAGGATAGAGACAATTTTTTAGGATAGAGACAAAATGACGAGAAAGATTATTCAGCAGAGGAGCATAAAAGAGGCTAAAGACAGGGCTACATTGTGGAGGTATACACATGTGTGCGTGTTATGTGTTTAAGGCTCTTACCACTCCTCCATCAGGGTTGCGGATGTATCCGTATCCGATCGTTTTGTCGACAAAGAAGCCGTAGTCGGAACGCCGCAGGTGACCAACAGGAGTGCCGTTTCGGAAAATGGCCTCCAGACCGAACATTGGTACTTTCCTGGGGGAGAAAAAGAGAAGGGAGTCCTCCCGCATGATCCTGTTACACAATATATCTGCACGTCTTAATCAGCATTACGTTTTCTCAATGCACATTTGGTAAATTCATCAACATTAAGAATTCTGCTAAGTAAGACCACCGTATACATATTTACATTATGGTTCTACACAATCAATTTGTGCAAGATCGCTAAATGGCTCCACTACACAAAGCTTCATTTTTTACATGTCATAAAATCATTAAATGTTCTTTCCTTTCCCTTTCTGCCTGGCATGTAATCACAAGCTTTACTGACTCATCAATGGTGAAGCACACGATGCGCCTCCTCAGCCCCTCCTGCTTCTGCCTCTCCAGCCGCTCACGGCCCTGGAACGGCACGGAGCTCTTCAGTTTGCAGGTGAAGCCCAGCCCCGACTCCAAGGGAGTGTCATCCGGACGGAGGTCGGCGTGCCAATGTCGGTACCCTGAGGAGCAGGGGAAGAGGATGAGAGAAGCACCATAAAGAAAGCTTTACACGAGCCGGATCCGGTTCGTAGGGCTCCGTTAGCTACAGCGCGCGTCACCTTTCTCTATGCTGAGTGAGTCGATGGCCCTGTAGCCCGAGTTGATGATGCCGTGCTTGGCGCCGGCAGCCATGACGGCGTGGTAGACGGCGAGGCAGGAGCCTTTGGGAATGTGCAGCTCCCAGCCGAGCTCTCCGACAAACGACAGACGCATAGCTCGCACCTGGACGGGAGAGAGCGGAGGATCAGCGCGACGGAGACCAGACATTTTGTTGTTCCCGAAACACAAACTAGCTCTGTGTGTTTTCTCCAACATATCTACACGAGTTAAATGAAAGACAGGCTCAATATGGCACACAGGAGGCTTGCGACTAAAACTACAGGGACTTGGATTATTATGTGTTTAATTAAAAAACGCCAGAATGATATGAGTGAACGCTAAAGAATGGAAGCGAGAGAGAAAAGAGGTAAAAAATCTCTCCAATAGTTTCCCCGGTGGGTGCTGTGAAAGCCAGGCCATCTGGTCAGCCAGGATCACCACGGGCCCCATATGTACATCATGAATGAAACTCTGGGGAGGACAGCAGGCCCGGGCTTACTCACAAACAAACGCGCGCACACACACACACACACCGGCGACACACAGGCGACAGACTTAATGACAGAAACAAGTGCACATCTTATGCACACTGTCACTTATCAAATTCACCAGAGAAACATGAAACAGGGACACGCAGGGCACGAGAACAAAGATGCATGCAAACATGAATCCACATGACCCAACACACATCCGCACTTCAACTGGCGACTCGCAAAGAGAGAGAAGCTAATGAGCTACGAGGGGGGGCAGAGGGCGAGAGAGAGAGAGAGAGAGAGCGAGCGCCCTGTTCTCGCAGCAGTGCCGCCATTAAAATGTCACCACAGACGAGAACTGCAACCGGCTGGAAGACGGCACAAGCAAGGCGCACGTACGCGGGCGCACAAGCTCACACAAAACCCTTGGTGAGAAGACGCTGACTGTAATCACCGGAGCGTTGCATAATTTATGCGATAGCAACTGAGACAAGGGGCAAATGTGCGTGGACATATGTGTCGCTGCATGAGCGGGTACAACATGTCCTCTCTGACCACGGGCCAGGAACAGAGCGGAGGTCAAACTGAGGCTACGTCATTTTTTGGCTGTAAGCCACATGAAAAATGCAGCTGGGTTTAAAAAGGTATGGGATATATGGGATAAAGGGTGTATATATATTGTAGAAACGCGCAGTGTTCCTACCTGGTGCCCTGCTGCGCTGACAACCTTGTGTGTGGAGAAGGGGAAATCTTCATTGCTCAGGTCCGTGTCCAACACCTCTTGCAGCACCTCTCGGCTACACATCAAGAGAAAACACAGCGGTCATCAATCCGTCAATGCATTTGTCTTGTGCACTTTGTGTGATGAAAGACGAAAACCCAAATTGATCAACAACATCAAAAATGTTTTAAGAAAACACAGCTACAAAAACTACAAGCGCCCTTCTAATATTTGATGTAGAAACGTATCTCTCCTCCTCCCACAAACAAACATGTACACTAAAATCAATATTACATAAACATGACTCAACGGAAAAAGGGGACTAACTTTAGCTTATTTTGTTTCTCGTGTGTTGGTGAGTGGGCAGGTAGAGGCTTTTTCTGGGAGATATTTTTGCAGCAGTGTGAAAGGAAGCCAGGGTTGAAGATATTTAAGGATGGGGTTCAGCTAATGTTTTTCTCTCTGCTATACACGTCGGTGCATCGGTGTGTGGGTGTCAATCAATGTGGTCATAGCTGGATGTATGAGGCTAAAGTCACATGTGATGAAAACATGCATGCATACATACATACATGCATGCATGCATGCATGCATCTGGCAGTTTGGTGAACCGGCTGACATTCTCTTCAGGCTGTCCTCCTTCAAGCAACGCTTTGTTCACTGAACTCCCATGACCCAGAGCGGGGCCAATTAGCTATAAATATATATATATATATTCACTGAATTGCTCTGTTTGTGTGCAAGTGCGTGCTGGGTTGGGGAAAGGGAGTCTTTCAACCACCAATATGTGTCTCTGTGTTGCCTCTCCCCTGCAAACACACACGTTGCTCTCCTGCAGGATATCAGATCGTTTCCTATATCATAAATAAGGTTCAGAATTACAAAGCAAACAATCTGGCACAGTTTCACCCTTTGGATAATGCCGCCAAAGCTGCGTGAGCGTAAAATATCGGAGTCTCGCCACCCTCCCCGCCCCCGCACCGCGGAGAATTGGAGTGAGACGTCTCTGGGAGACAAAATTTCCATAAACGCTGCAATATTCCATCTCGCCAAACTTTGAAGAGATCAATTTGTTTCATAAGGAAACAAACCCAAGAAACAATATGAGTCGTTACGGCACTGTGCAGAGGGAAGCAATAAACATGCTAATCTCCTTTACATTATTGACGCTCACACAAGGAAACGTCCACCGATACAATAACCCTCAACCCTCGCAATCTCGCAATGAATTTCATAATCAATATCCTTAAATAATTAAACTCACCGGCCACTTTATTAGTTACACCCGTTCAATTGCTTGTTGACACAAATCGCTAATCAGCCAATCACATGGCCGCATTTAGGCCATGCGAGGCCTGTAGACGGGGCCAAGACGACTGGCTGAAGCTCAAACCGAGCATCAGAATGGGGAAGAAAGGGGATTCAAGGGACTTTGAACGTGGCCTGGTTGTTGGTGCAAGACGGGCTGAGTGCGTCACTAACCGCCGACCTACTGGGATTATCACGCACAACCTTGTTGATGTGAGAGGTCAGAGGAGAACAGGCAGACCGGTTGGAGGTGATAAAAGGGCAACAGCGACTCAAATAACCTCTCGTTACAACCGAGGAACTCAGAAGACCATATATATATATATATATATATTACATATACATAATACAATATATATTATATATACTTCTATCCCTGCAAGTGATGCACTGATTTCTGATTTGACGTAAGCAATAAAAGTGAGCGGAGGACCCTGAGAATAGGCGATTGAGCAGAGAGGGAAGGCCTGGGAAGGGTTAGAGTGAGCAGAATAACACACAAAGCCCTGAGGGTTCAGAGCTTGGAAACTTAAGACAGAAAATTTGAAAAAGCCTCACAGAGAGAAAATCGACACAGCAAACACAGAAAACAGAGTAGGGGGGGGGTGTAGTGGAGGAGAGAACGAGATGGAGAAGAGGTAAAAAGGTGGCGTGCCTTGCTCAAAGGGGGAAGAACAAAGGGCAAAATGTCAAACATTGTATTTGTAGCACCATTCCCCTGCGCCATACACACTTCTCATGCATGTTGAAATCATTGGAGGATGGTTCTGATGGATGGGAGGCAAAACTGGAATGCTGTGAAATGTTTAATTTAGTCTTTACTATGAGACGCTAGCAAAAACTTACTCTACAGGTCTACAGGTCGAATCATGTGGCATTCAGGGTCCCAACATGACTGAATCAGGTGGCTCTTCGTATGCTTTTCATAGGTCCCTCTATGACTAAGGTTCGATAGTAACAGGTCACGCCCTTGTACCTCACCCAAGGCGTAAACTGCTGTAATCCTCATCATTGTCACTTAAGCAGATGAAACATTGATTCTAATTTACTTTGCACGGTTTTACGGCATTGTGAAGAAGCCAACGGCCACATTAAACCGCAGAATTAGCCTCCAACCTTTCGGCTTCCGCCTCCTGTTTGCAATCAACCTCCGTCGCCGTGTTCTTTCACCTCTTATGCCTATGGCCAAGTCTTTAAAAGAGGCACTTAAACCCACTGTGCCGTTATCGATCCAACAGCTCGTGCTTTCGGCTTCCCCACCTGTTGTCTGCCGGATGCGTATCACAACCCCTCTTTGGAGATACCTCCCTATTTTCTCCTCTCCTCCCTCCCTCACTCCTTTTGTCCTTTGTCTCAGCTGCATTTCCATCACGCCACATTTGTCCCCCACCTCTTGGGTCCCTGGATGCTGATCATCCCCATGTCCTCGGAGTGGTCCGTCAGCTGGCAGTGGAAGCCTTGGTCCTGAAGAGTTGTTCTGATGTGGTTCCAGTTGTGTTCTGCCACACCGCCCCCGATGGCCAGGTAGTACGCGTCACCTGCAACGAGGGCGGGGCAACGAAAGGCGGGTTAGTAGGAGTATGACAGAAGCGTCGACAACGAACCATCGAGCAAATACTAACAGAAAACTGAAGTCGAATGAGAAATAACACGCCACACACAATGATAGATGCATGAACATACAAGGGGAGAAGGAATGACGGCAGGTTGATAGACTGGGTGACAGGACATTAAAGGAGTAGAGTAAGAAATAGGAGAACACAATGACAGATCGGCAGATCAAATAAAAGTTAAAATGACAAAAACACAACAGGATGATGAGAGTGAGAACGACAGAGAGCGATCTGATATGAGGACAACACTCTTTCTCTCCGTTTCTCACCGTCGGACTGCGGTGCCAGCGGCAGGTTGGCAGCTCCGGCCTCCAGTCTGCTCACCGTCAGGTCAGCCTCCGTCCCTCCTTTCTTATTCAGCATGCAGGTGTACACAGTGGAGCCTGTGGAACACAGACGCGCTATTTATTCATGTCGCAAGACTTTACGGGCCAATGCTAATATCCTTTGAAACAACTCCGTCATTTTAAAATCAATTCAAGTTCACAACTTCCTGTTGAGGGAAAAACGATTATGAATCTCTGCCTCAGACGTGTGAACCTCGTCTAATTGTACGACAGTTACGACGGAAAAAAAAACTTAATCAAAGCTGAGAGCATCACTGAAAGTCGTCATCCTAATAATGTACCAGTAATGAATTGTGTGTCTAAGTTAGAGGAGACAAAAAAAAGACAAACAGTCCCGTCATGCGTTGGCCAAAGGAGCCGACATGGACATGCTAATATGCGTCTGTCCCCGAGACCTCTCTCGCTTAAAAGAAGGATTGTTACAGTTCCTTTTTGTCACTAGCACTAAACAAAGCGCTGTGTACATGTGTTACGTGTGACAGTGGATGTTCTCGGGGGAGATGCGGCGGCTGAGAAGTGAGAACTGGATGCACAAAAATGGAGAAGGTGATGGACAAAGAGGCAGAGAAAGCAAAGTCACAGTGTGTCAACAAAAGATGTTGAAAAAGCTTTTGAGCAACCACCTTCGTGGGTGGGGTGAGATCTGGTTGTCAGACTCAATGCAGGATAATAAACTGTAAGTAGATGTTAGTACAGAAATTACGTAGGCTGCAGCTGTGAAAGCTGAAAGTATGAATAGATGAAAGGTTTTTCTGATTTGACTTATTGTGATGTAAATGTTGATTGCACAAGCTAATGGCGGTGGAATAATGACCCCTCCAGCGCGTTCTTTGGTTCCCCGATGAGCCTCAAAGGCAAAGTCTTGGCCGAAAGGAAATGCATCAACCAAAACCGAAAGACGGTAGTGTTTTTGTTTCCCCCGCCAGCTATCAGACGGTTGAATGGATTCAACATATATCACACATACTAATGGGATTAGAGGATTGTGTGACCTTATTGATCATTGTGGTATTCACCGGTTTTAAAGCAGACACAGCTGTCAGTTTGTTGACCGTGAAAACACATATTTCAAGAGGAAATAAACTGACATATACGATAAAAATATTCTTTTTCGACCAATTATTAGCAGCATTAAACATTTTTGTGGAATGGTAGACGGTTGTGCTCACATTTTGGCATGTTGATAAGCCCCTCGATCATGTATCTGCTCTCTTCATTCTGCCAATCTTCCCTCCCATCTGTGCATGTGTGTGTGTGTGTGTGTGTGTGTGTGTGTGTGTGTGTGTGTGTGTGTGTGTGTGTGTGTGTGTGTGTGTGTGTGTGTGTGTCGTCTCGCTGCAGCAGACTGACCTGGCTTCTTGTTGACATCAGCTGTGAACAGCCAATCAGCCGCCTTCTTGGCATCTGGTCCGGTAAGATAGAACTTCCCAAAGTAGGACATGTCAAACACGGCCACACCGTGTCGACATGAGAGGCACTCGCTCTTAATCTGCAAAGAACGAAATGGAATTTGCAGTTTACTTCCACGATTGGACTGAATTACATTGTCCTACTAAACACCACATAAATGAACACACGCGTGCACACATACGGTATCTTACCACGTCATGGTGTGGAGGGAAGTCAAACGTGTACTCTTTTCCCAGCAATTCGTTGTACTTGTAGTTCACATTCTTCTTAATGTCATAAGCCCCATAGTAATCGTAATCTTTAAGCTTTGCAAAAACAGAGAAAAACAAACATATGATAATAGTAATTATAATAATAATAATAACAATCATCATTGTCTCCATGTGCAGAGAAGGACAAAGCATTGGGCCGGATACTGTGTTAATGTCGCCCAAGACTGTCAGTCTTTTCTAATTGTGGAAATACAAATGCATCTCAATGGTTTCCGCCTTTCCAAGTGCCTTTTGTCAATATATACGGTCGTAAATAAATCCTTGGCGTGCACATGCTTCCATACTGTGTGTGTGTGTGTGTGTGTGTGTGTGTGTTTTCTCACAGGAGCGGCCCCGTCTTTGTTGAACCAGCCAGGTCGTTCCCAGCCGTGTCTCTCCTGGAACACGCAGCCCTGCTGCGTCAGCACCTAAAACAAGCGTCGCACACACAAACACAGGAGAACACAAGAGGTCAAACCGTCACCGAAAGGAAAAGAGCTGACAGGTTCTGCTATTTAGCGATTACTTCTCGCAATGTTGATGTTTTTTTTAATTAAAAGCCTGCATTCACAGAATCATGTAACGAAGTGTATGTCATTTTACCCTAAACGTCTACAGATTTAAACACATCGATAAAGTTGTACTGGTGAAACCAGTTTACACATGAACCAGATCACTATTCGCAGTTTCATCACAATAAGCCTTCTTTATTATTAAACCATGCTGGGCAACAAATGACCTTCATTTCGTTGAGATGGTCAAACACTATTTTAGCAAAAAAACGTTAATTACAGTTTAAAGCTCAATTTCTTGACCGGCGTAGAGAGATTTCCGTTAAAACGGGCCGTCGCCCACAGTTGGTAGGTATGTTCTGCTATGCTCACATCCTAGCCGTCTCTTGCCAGAACTTCCCACACCGAGCTATATTTACTCCCCGCGCTGCCGAGGTGGAGAAAGCGCGCGAGCAGCAGTGTCAGCGACGGCCTGTTTGTGCTCTTAAATAATGTTGCATTGCCTCCCGAAGAGCAGACAGTCTCATTATTTGAGACACGAGGGCAGCTGGTGGAAAATCTGAAGTAACCCTCAGCCGTGATACATAGCGGGGCCCATTGACAACCGGAGCGGTAAACAAAAACGTTTCAAAAATAGTAATTAGACCCTTTTTCCGTGTGCATTCCTTTTTTTTTTGATTTGTCGGTCGGCGGCTCTCTCAACAGTAGGCCAGTTGCTAGGTGATGGCACTCGGCGAGCGATTAGCAGGGGTCTGACGGGCATGCGGCCGAGGGCCTCGTCTCACAGGGACAGAGGTCTCCTTCAAGCTACCGTCTGTCCGTCTGAGAGCAATTATTCTTTAGGTGCCCTAAACCGTAGCTGCTTAGCATTAAATCATAATATCTCATCTTCCACTTGTTATGCAAATTAAAGTCTTCTGTGCCGGATATAGAAAAGCGTAATGTGACAGTTTAGGACTTTAGTCTTAATGGTACCGTGTTATGCAACAGGACGGATGACGTGCCACAGCTGCGCGCTCACACCACCTATTGAGCCTTTGGGGTGTCAATCAGCTTATATGTTTCACAGTAGATAAAGGACTTAATTTCCGCTATCAAATTACGAGCCCTCTAAAGGGCACCAGGATTTGCTGATCAGCACGGGGGAAGTGATGCAGATAGCGGCATTTACTGCACTCAGCGTGTGGTCTTTAGAGAGAGACGATACGCTTCTTTGACGCTCATCAGACGTCACGAGTATGTGGCTGATATGCTAGTTTGATGACTAATATAATAAACGTTTGGGGATTTTTCTTTATATTGGTCACTTTTTAAAAAACTCTACTATATTCGTGTGGAATTTAGTAAATCAGATACAGAACGGAATCAAACGTTCACTACGGAGATGTGGGCCACTAACATCCCTTCACGTCTTTGCTTATTCAGTAAAACAACTTTAAAAAAGCCCTTTGGGAAATCTGATTAACTCTGCATGAAAGGTGTCAGGGAAGCTAAATAAAGCTGAAAGCAAACAGTAGGCATGATCTAACAAAATGCATTGAAAACATTGCTAACGCAATTTGTGTGACAGTAATCTGTTCTGAGTGAATGCCTGCACGGGCGGGCGGGGGGTCGAGGGGGGTCGGGTAGAAATGGCGACAGTTAAAAAGGTAAAGCAAGTCTAGAACCGAAAAACAAGGCTAAGTGGGTCATTAATGCATAAAATATGGCGCTGAGGCCCATTAGAAGTTTGTGCCGGCGCTGAGGAGAGAAAGGAAGCTGAAAGACATCCGAGACCAAGCTACCGAAGCCAAGTGTATCATTTATAGTCGAGTTGTCGAGGATCGCATTAATAAAAGTAACCCATGTGCCAGAGCATGAATCAGCCGTTTGTCTGCCGCTTTGAGCAGAGGAGACATTAGGAGAGAGCCGGGGGGAGACAGTCGCTGCTCCCACTGAGAGCACCGGGTCGCAGTTGACCGGGTCACAGCTTGACAGATGATATCTTTGCAAACACTTACGTCACCGGTGCTTTGGGACTCGCTTGGCAAAAGCATCCAATAAAAAAAAGACACACAAACGCACAACCACAAAAGCCACAACTGACATGAACACAATAATGATCGACCGCACACGTTCGCGCAGAACTTTGGGGGTTTTGTATGTTTGCCGTCTCAGTTATCCAATCAGATGCCTCGGCTCCAGAGGTTAAGAGGAAGGAACGGCAGCACCTCTTCTTCTTCTTCTTCTCCTCGCACACAAAAGGCGGATTGGAACGAGAACAAAGACAGTGACAAACGCAGGAAGACGGAGAGAGGAAACGGAGATTAAGTATGAATAGGAGAGAGGCAATTGTAGTGGGGAGGATGTCAGGAAGAGAGGAGACGAGAGACATGCGAGTGAAGGCCGTGGGTAGATGCGCGGGGAATGAAAACGGGAGGCAAGCGAAAGGCTTGAAAGAAGAAGTGAGTCACCAAAACCGCTAAAAATATAGGAAGCGAACAAAGATGACTGTTGGCGTTACGTGGCAGCCGAGTTGATCATGTGACTTTAAGTGGTACACCGGTTTCATCGCGTTCAGTAACCATGTGTGTAGGGGTCTAGAAAGTTACCCCCTTCCCCGCGGCTTAAGCCAAAAGGTGTCGGTCTAAATCCTTAGAAAGGGAGATACACAACGGTGTCGACACTTTCACAAAAAGTAGAAGAGCAGCTTAACGAACGGTGTCAACAGAGCCAAAGTTATGCTTAATATTATTAAGATTGAGGAAACATTGAAAGTAGAGGCTTTAAAAAGATAATTTATCTAATTTGACTACTCAGACTTAACTTCTTTAATATAAACATAATTCAGGATATTCAGATAAATATACAGGAACAACCTTTACTAAATGTGACAGGACAGACTGAATAGCCTGGAAATCAAGCGTTTGTGGAGTTACTGTGTGTGTTGTCGGTTGTCCAAGTACAACAAATGTATGAATAGTTTATACTTCTCTTCATCCCCATTTCCTTTCATTATTAAAGGGTCGTTAGATGTAAAGAGGAGGGAAAAAAAAAAGACGGCAACCTATGGCGACTCATCAAAACCATCTACCTGATGAAAAGGGTCCTTCCTCATGTTTCGGCTGGCCAGCGGCTCATCAAAGGGAAAGACCACCGAGTAGTTTTTCGCGTACGACTCGTGGCTCCTCTCTCTGATCCAGCTCGCGTTGTCGGTCAGCGAGTTATGGAAACGCCTGAGACGGGAGCGAGAGAAAGAAATCATCAAAGAGGATCAACGCTCATTAAAAGCCCCGATCATTCCGACGTAATTATTCCGTCTCCGGGGATCACAGCCGCCGCTTCTAGTACTTTTAAGTTCCACCTCAGTGGGTTTGTAGACAGGTCGTGCTGTGCATTGATGTACCTGATGTCGTAACCATACATATCCTTCTCAGGGCGGCCATGTATGATCCAGTGAGCCAGCTCTCTGCCACAACCGCCTCCCAGCATCATGCCTGACCAAAAACACAAAACGCACACAGAAACTGTTGTTTGAAAAGCATCTCAAAATGTTAAACGAGGAAATCAAAGTCCACTCTGCAACATAATTAAGGCAAAAGGCCATATTCTGCTGATTCTATTCATCTTGCGTCTGAGTTTTGACTTGAATGAGATTGGGTTTGTGTTTAGGGCTGCAGCTAACAATTAATTCCTTATCCTTAAATCCATATTTAAATAATAATTTCGTCCCTGAAATCTCATTCAAAACAGACAAATCACCGGTTTAGGAAAATTAGTTTTCAGAGTGGAAAATATGAAAAGAAAACGACTCTTTTCCTCTCACTCCGATTGCTCGTCTGGAGGACGGAGTGCGTCTCATTATTTTGGAGCCTGGATATGTCGTATGACCCATTGAGGATTGTTTTGAACCCTGTTCCATCATTTGACCCTTGGTCCCGGCGGCCCAGGAACCAATCTGCCCTCATCAGCTGAACCCAAGCGGCTGCAGCTCTGATTTCTTGTTTTTCAACCCGACCACCAAACACTGGAAATTCAATTCAATTTCATACATCCGCTCCCCAAAACCGCTGGGGTAATGAACTGCTCCTTATAACACCCCCCCCACCCCCCCACCCCCCCTCTTGTGTTTCCCATAATTTGCATGCATTTTGTGCATGTTGTTCGCGCGTGCATCAACACGCAGCAGCATGTTCACTGTGTCCTTGCGTCCCCCCCCTTCTCCATCCCTCACAGCCTGCCCCCTCCCTTCATCCGTCATCGCTTCACTCATCCGCAGACACGGTGACTCTGGGCAACGCCCGGGTGGATGTTTGAGTGGCTGGATGACGTAGTTCTCCCGAGACTAAGTGGAGAGAACGAGCAGGGCGAGGTGGTCCTGATAAATGTCCCCCGAGATAACGAGTATCTGCGTGTGAACCCTCATGCTCGTGTTTCCTCTCCCCTTATCCTCCATCCTCTCTGCCGTGTCAACTTCTCCACTTCACCCCGATCGGAATCTCACACTGCTACCGTCTGCTCGTGGCGTGCGAACATTTGTTCCTGTATATGCCACTTTCGATCACTCACGGCTCCCGCTTCCCGTGTAGCGCTCGCAAATTATTTTTAAATAGTTCCCCAGCGTGTTCTGACATTTACAGTGATGCCGCTGGTCAATCAAAAATGCTTTAAAAGGGGGAGAGAGTTATAGTTCAACCTTTTCTGCTTTAGTAGCCTTTGTGTGCAGGTTGTTTTGTAGGGGGAAATAAATCAATTGCACTTTTCACCCGACACAATGGTCAAAACATTCCCTGCATCACCTGAGGATGTCTGAGTTGATACCTCATTCTTACACCTGGTTAAATGTTCTTATCATCATTTGTTGGCGATAGCTTGTTGTATCCAATGATGCATATGTTGATGTCGATGTGTTTATTCTAAAAACTGCACAGCAATTATTAGATGATGCATATGATTTGAGGAACTTGATCGTGCTCACGAATGATCACCTGCGACACGGTGATGTGGTTAAGAGGTAGAGAATTTAAAAGATATTGAACAAATGCCCTCAAAAGCTCATCATGCTGATTTTTACTATAAGAGAGTAACTTTTAAGGTTGCTAGGTAACACATACAATTCAAGTAAGTGCAGCTAATGTTTGCTTGGAGACCAGACTGTAAAAAAGTAAAGAAAACAACAGAAGAGTCCAAAAGTCACTGCACACTCAGTGATGGATATTCTTAATGTGAATCAGTCAACTTTGACCCCGTGAATCCTGAATTACCCCACTTCTCCTGCCCTGAGCCAAATACGCTGTGTGAGTTCATCTGTGTGCAGGATTTTTTGTGTGATGGAGTGAAAATGACAGGGGACTTTTTCCGTGCCAGAGGGACAAAAAGGCAGTGTGTGACTAGCGAGACGGGTGTGAAAAGAGGACGGCATGAGCAAAATAGATTGTTGAGCTTCTGCTGTGATTAATACTCAAATGTTTTGCTTCGGTGCACGCAGACGAGTGTGTGCGTGCGCGTGCGTGCGTGTCGGGTAAGTGAAAGCGGGCCTTGCTGTGCAAAATTGTTAATAACCAAATTACTGTTACCAGGTGTGATGTATCGTGAGCCCATTTCAATGAGCTTCCTACCAGCATGACGCATCGAAGCTAGAGGAGAGCAAAAATATCCACTTCCATTCAAATTGGATTGTTACATTGTTAACCGCATAATGTAGAAGCATGTAATTTATCTGGTCACTATATAATTGTGATAAATCGTCGTAAACTATGATGGACCAAAAAATGTCCAATACAATGTCAGGACAAGTCTTCAATTACTTGTTTCTGATCACATCTGAAATGCCAGGGCCGGCATTTATTTGGCTTTATATACAAACAATATGTGCAGCGTAAACCCATAAGCACTGCAGCTCCAGTAAATGAGACAATATGAATGAGGTATGAAAGCTACCAACAGCTCAGGAGCAGCAGTGTGTGAGCTTGTTAATCTGGCAATAGACAACGAGACGCTAACTCACCCACAAAACAGCACATGCACACAATGAGTCTTTGGGGCTTAAGTGGTTGGGAGAGAGGAGAGCCAGAGAGACTGAGCTCGGTCAGTAGTTTGCATCCAACGTGCAAAAACAACATGTCAGAAGCAGAAAACAAGAGGGACGAAACATGCGTGTGTGCGTGCGTGCATGTGTTGAAACGACTGTGTGCGTCCGTGATTAGAGCTCAACCTTCTCGTCTGGACCACTTTAGGGCTCGGCCCTGTGGCCCTCTGCAGAAGAGAAGCTTTCTCTCCACCGTCCGTTGATTACTTTACCCTTTACGCCCCCTCTCCCTGTTCTCAGATCGCTGAGACGCTCACATTCCTGCCCGTCTAACGTCAAAGGTGAGCCCATCTACGAGTGAAGTAATGGAGTGACTTGTTGTTGTGTGTGTTCTTTCTGGATAAAGTCCTCCATAATTCCTCCGCATGCAGGAGTGAGCACAGAGGTTGGCGGAGGCGGGGTCAGAGTATCAAACGGCTTGTATTCTTCCCGCTCGTGTTGCCGCGTATGGAGGACTGCTTAGAACCTCGGAGCTCATTTCATGAGGTCCTCAGGGAAAAAAAAATAATAAAAAAAACTCTTACAACTGTGAGCGATATGCACCATTCATCTGGGACGTCGACGTCCTCCTCGTTCATCTCCCTCTCCTTTCTCGTCTTTCTGTAAAATTCTCCCTCCCCGGTTCTTTCTTCAATCTTTCCGTCTGCGCAGAACTTACCGGCGCTGTTGAAGCCGCAGCCCAGGAAGAAGCCTCTGACCTCTGGCGCCTCTCCCATCAGCGGCTTGTGATCCGCCGTAAAGGATTCTGGGAAGAGAAAGCAGAGTGACGAATGTAACAAACGCACGCTAACCACCGGGGTGACATTATCCTCCCATGCATTACTTATACGTCGTGTCATAGAGGACCATGTCGTCTTCACGCCTCACAAGGCTTCACTGTGCAATAAATGGTTGTCAGCCATTTGTTGATTGCTAATTTATGCCGCTCTTTTGGTTATCCCTGTTGTGAACTAAATCATTCATTAAACACAATTGTTTGTCTGAAAACAAGGCTGGTTGCTTGTTAAACCCCCGACACCGCGTAATATTATATTCACACTGGTTGAGCTTTAATGTGCAGCAGCGTGGGCCTCTTTGGATCCCAAACACGTCTATTGTGCAATGATATGATGTTCAGCTACATTCAACTTTGACCTTTCACCTTATCTGCTGAAATGTAAATGACCGTAATCCTAAATACAGTACCAGTCAAAACTTTGGACACACTTTCTCAAATGAGGGAAAAACTTGCTTGAAATGAAACTAAAGACGTAATGCCTTAATGTGACATTCACAGCTGGGTAGATAATCCGCAACAACTGATAAAAATCATAATTTTGATCCTCTCCCTCTGAGCTTCAGTCTTTCTTCTCTACATTTCATCCCTCCTTCTTTATATCTCTACTTATGCAGCTTCTTTCACCGGGAGAATCACTACTATCTCAAATGAAAATGGATCTATTACTGCTTTGCTGATTATTTCTGTCTTTCCCAAATTTCCTTCTCATTTCTCCGTTTTCCATCTTCCTCATTCACGTCATTCACGTGGGCTCAATGGTATTTTTGTGTAAATGCATGTTTTAGTTGTCAGCTGTTTCACTTATTACTCTACAAACAGCTGCCTCACACCTCGATGATGAAAAATCCAGTTCAGGGCTGCAGACGTAATCAAACCACGTCCACAAACGTGACACACCGTCCGCCCCGTTCCGTATTTACGAGCTAATGTTATTGCGGAGTGTTTGCGCAACATATTCTACAAACTGATACATTTCAGTTTTTCGATTAGAACGTGTCTAATGTAAGAAGTGTGGTGACGGATGCTTGTTCCCTGCTGTACCGCATCATGTTATAAGCAATTTGCAAGAAGGGCTCGCAGGATTTTCAGACAAATGTAAACCTGTGTGCAACTGGTGTGTGCGAGTACCTGGTCCACAGACAGTGGACTTGATGCCAGTCTGCTCCAGACCAGGAACTCTGTTGACGGCGCCCTCGATGTGTTGCGTGAATACGTCCCAGTCGAGGTCAAACAGGCTGAAGGCAAAGTCATCCGACACCTTAGAAATAAAACACGTTGGCAAAAGGCAAGAGTGTGATTTCTCAGAAGCGGCTGCTGGTTTAGGGATTTAAAGGATAATTTAAGATTTTATACATTTTAATGCAAACCTATCCAGATTTTTAAAACTAGTTTCAGATATATTTTATACTCCAAGTGAATAATGCAGCTTTCTGATGGTGCTCTGACAAAGAGCAGATCTTGCATAGTAAAGCAACGAATGAATGAACAAGGAAATGCAACTGTAAATTACATTTTTTTTTTACGTATGGTGATTAAATTCTCTGGAGGATGACAACAAGCGACAGCTCTCACATTATTTATATTTTATTATACAAATCATAGCCCCTTTAAAAAAACAAAAAACACTCAGCTTTTTGTTCCATGAACAGTGAATCCATACGACTTGCGCACTCAATGTAGTTTCACCACCTCAGAGTCAATAACAACAAGTCTGATCCTCATCACTGTCAAGGTCACCACATGTGACTCACAGCAGAATCCCTGAGCATCAACATCTTCACATCCCTCACAGTACCCGGTCCAGGTTTTTATTCGGTCCTCTATGGACCTCTGCAACTTCCTGTGTTCAGCCGAAAACTGAGCTTTCAGCTCTTACATCTCTCGCCGTTCAGTGCCTTAAAACGCTCCCCTCCTACGCCAATCTGACTGACTAAAGCTGCTCAAAGCGAAACCTCCAGCACCACAGCTTGTGCTCTCCGACACTGTACGAGTCTGACATTTGTCCTTATGTGCCGGTATCGAGCCGGTCGCCCCTCTGCTTGAACTTCTCCGTCTTGGCTCCTGAATGGTGCGACTTCAGAACAGCGGTCAGTCTCCTACTTTCACAGCGTTTTCCCCCCGAGTCCTGGCGGGCCGGATAACAGACTCATTGTACGGTCTAAAATGTTTGCGTGTTGTGGTTATTATTATTATCTGAGGAGCAGTGCTTCCCAAGCAAATCGACCCCGCTCGTCCTCACTCAGTAGGGAACAGAGAAACCTTTACCTACGCGTCCAGGACTGCGTTGCATTGGAGGAGCGCAGATTCAAAGGACAAATAATTGAATGAAGCGAGAACGCACAAGCGGGGAAATGTTTTCGGTTTGAGACGCCAGGAAAGAGAGTGCGAAGGTGCCCGACGCGGCCAGCCTGCGGCTCAACACGCCGCTCTTAAGAACCCAGTGCACATCCATTGAGACCAAGAACCCCCGTCGATTTAAAAGCTTTTATAAAGATCATTCTCCAAAGTCAGCCGGCCCTTTAACAGCGTCAGTCTGAACCTGAAAGGAAAACCGGCGCGATTACCTTTCGTACCAGCCGGAAAGAGTTGTTTGAATAATTTCCCCTCATCCTAACAGCCTTTTCTGTTTTAAAGAAATGATATACATATTTATATATTAGTTGCTATGGGGTTCATAAAATGACTGTGTTTATTGCTTTTGGAGAATATGCTATGCTCATCAATATTTATGTTATGGATGACAACAAATCACTCTTCAAATGCAAATTGAATACTGAGCCCTGCAGGAGGTACCTACCAAAAGACACTGAATCCATTAGGCCCTTCCATTAGCGTTGAAACATACTTATAAATCAATTTATATTTACATTCAGCATACCAACCTTGCTTCAATGCAACCTCCGCTATAGTGCTAACTGTACACTGCTTTTTGTGTCATCCCCCTTTTCTACAGCTATTTTTGTATTCTGATACCTCTGAACAGAAATCCCCCCTATAAAGCCCATATTTTAAACCACTGTGACATTTATCTTTGTGTACGAGTTAAACAGATATAACTGTGTTACATAATAACTGCTACTCAGATACTATTCAGGCTTACCTCGTCCCAGAAGACGGGGTTGTTTTCATAACCCCCAACAGACAGGGCATCACCTTGGAGGCGCAGGTACACTGATGCATCATGGTCCCTGACGTTTGGCATGTTCTGCAACAAACATTCAAAACAGGAATCAGTCCAAACTAATTGTGTTCCATTGACCAAAGAATTATCAGCGCGTCAATCCACATGCATGAGATAACTTTGATTGGCAGTTCGAACTGTTAAATTGACATCCATAAGACACAACGATAAGTTGATGGTACATAATTCTAACCAGATTTTAAAAAAAGAAAGCAACGCTGTTAAACTCACATTAAAAAGAGAATTTCCCAAAGCTAATTTCCCATGTGCGTTCCTATTCTTTACACAAATGACAACTTTCAGAAAAGAATATATAATATGGGACACAACAACCAGAAAAACAGCTCCAGCGGCATCCCATAACAAACCATAGAGCATCTTTATGAATGCTGTGGCCTCTCCTGACACACCATGAAATCTACTTTCCAAACGACAGCAGAGAGAAGCATTCATCCCCTTGAGTCTGATTAAATATTGTCAAAGTGTCTTACGAACAGTTAGACTTTTATGTGCGTCGTATCATCTACATTCATTCAGTCAGGGGTGCTTTTCATCCCAAATTCAATTGGCTCCATGGGCACGAAACCAAACTACCAGCGGCGCACAACGGCAGCCAAACTGCGGCCTTCCTCTCGCCTCCGTGCCGAGTACAGTCAAGCAGCGACTCAACGGGATCGACGCCGGACTTCAATACACTCGTCCCTTTGTGCGCTCAGAGAGGAAAAACACATTGTCACAAGTGGGCATTCTGAATTTGAAGCCACCGCAAGCCTCTGCGGGCGAAAAAGGCCTGTATTCACACATGCTGTGACCCGGCAGGTGGCTGACCCCCCCGGTGGGAACAGATTTCCCGGGTGGCCTCCGACTGTCATTCTGCGTGTGCCGGGTGACGTTCGTGCACATGATGTGGCAGTAATTCTGGTTAAGCTGCTCTTCAAACACATGAATCCAGCCTCTAGAGGATGAGCACAGTCGCGCATGTGTACCACATGTAAAGTTTACACGTAGGTCTGCATACAGAGCCGACCACAAGCACCTCCCACATACACAAATCAACATTAGAACGATGCAAACAAATCAATGTCCCTTTCTCTCTTACACAAATGAGCACACGCAGGTCTGTCTGTAGTATCACAGTGCCCCCTGCAGGTCATTCAGAGATAATACAGTTATACAGTTAATGAGCAGAAACCCAGAATCCAGGCTTCAGCAGCGGTTTGTATGAGGAGGCACGAATACTGCATTATGAATGCATAATATAATGCAAGCTTTAAGCCGTATAATCCTAAATGTGATACCTCAGAATGACTTTCACACGGTAATAACGACATTGTGTTTAAAGGTGCTAAATTGAAATGCTGGTGTGAGAACCTCTCTGTCCCACCATTTGGGGGCGTCGGGTCGCTGCCAATTAGGCCGCGCGGTCGATATGTTGAGGAGGCAGGTGGTTAATGTTTGCAGGAGCCAACCGGACTGTGCAAAGACGCGTGATAACGTTTGATTACAAACGTTTCGGTTGTTCTACGTTAGGAAAAACGGATTAAGACAAAGAACGTGACCGTCTCCTGTTTACGTTGGAAAGTAATAAATTGCCAGCAATTGGCATCGTTGTCGATCGCAAACACAACAAGCGCAAATACGATGTTTGGAGCGACATAATTTAAAAGGACATCTCAAATACAGATTTGTACACCAGATAAATCTCCATTGGACTTTGTCTTTGTAGAAGCCCCAATAAACCAGATGGCAGACTAGTAACTAGTATAATCCGGGTCCACTTCTGTGATTGATTGATCACATTTTCTGTACAACATATCATGAAACCACAATGAGGTCGATGAGCTACAACACGTGCAGCATCCTACCTGTATGCCTTCAATCCTCTCTGTCACCACATAGGCATGATGCATCGCAACAAGAGGCACCTTGACACCAGCCATTTGCCCCAGCTTGGTAGCCCAGACACCTGCATGGAACACGAAGAGGCAAACATGAGAATGACACAAAAACCACTCGAAAATTGCACCAAATTGTTTATTTTACTTTAAATTTAAAACCTCGTAGCAATCTCACGGAGACGCTAATAAAATAAACCCAAACTGTATTTAATCTGTGGTTTTGTTTGTTAGTCAGCTGATCTCGTCTGAATCCCACCTGCACAGTTCACCACGCAGGGCGTCTCAATGGTCCCGTGAGCGGTCTCCACTGCCTTCACCCTCCTCACACCAAAGTCATCTGCCCGCACTTGGATACCGGTCACGGGGCAGTTCTCAATCACCTGGTGAAAACACGTATGTTAAAAAAAGTATATGCTTGAGTTATTGATTAATATTATGAGCTTTTTTTATCTGCAGAAAAGCAGGAATTCTTCAAAACCGTGCGAGTTAAAGAGTAAATCAAGATATTCATAAAAATAAAAAAAATCAAAGTCAAAATTTGCTTATCATTTCTAGCATCATCTTTAAAGCTATTTATAGTGGTCCATGCATTCGGTTATCCATTCTGGACGATTAACATAACGTGTCATGATAAAGCACACAAAACTGAAGCATCCACACCGTGGTGAAAGATCCTAATTATGATTTGGTGTAGTAGAATTGCGCAGTTAATGTATCGGTTAAATACTATTTGTTTACTAGACTGCACGTACATGTACATCCTCTGTATTATACAATACATTTAATAATACCTTTATTGAAAAGCACTCATAGGATGAACATACGTACTCCTCGCCACTGCATTTTGCACAAATTAAAGGCGAGCTAGAGAGGACTAAATGGGTCAGTCAAAAAGAAGTTCCAGAAGTCCAAACGAGAAAAGTTTCAAGGTATGAACTAGAAATTCCATGTTTTTCATTAATAGCGGGCTTGTTTTTTTTTGCAATATTTCTCAACTGAAAGAAACCAAAACTGAATGAGTCACTTTTGGGGCAAAACCGAGCTCAAGTTTATTAGAAGCGGTCTTGGTGTTTGCTAGCGAGGGGGCCATGTTAATGCCATCAGTTCTGTCAGAATGGCACGTCCAGTAATTTATGGGATGAAATGTTGAATCATAGCAGCAGGACGGAATGATTGACGCTCACGAGAAACTACATCCAAAACAGTTTGACAAACGGGGAGGGTCACGCCACACGAGTGATGAACTCCATGGTTGGATTTTTATCTGACAAAGACAAGCTGGTAGGACATTAATGAGCAGGATTCTGAATTTAGTGAATATGATGATACTCGATATGTTAGCATTGATGCGAGAAACACACGCTTGCATCTCTGATGATCGAGTAGCAATAATAGCGCTTTCATGTGAAGGTTGGATTTTCCCCATCTCCTGTATTATAACTTTAATTTAGTTCCAAGGAACAGCCTAACTTTATCCTTTAACTCGTCGTTTTTTTTCAGCCTGATGCCGTCTTCAAGCAGCGAGTATGCACGCTTTTCAATTGGTCAGCTGGCTTAACAGTCTGAATCTTTTATGTGGTAAAAGCCAGATTAAGATTCATTGAAACTGCACAGGAACCATCAAGTTTATCAGCAGGCGAGCGCGCTTACCTTGGCCCCCCTGGCAGCGGCAGCTCTGGTCAGGGTGGTGCAGGTGCCGGCTGGGTCCATGGTGCCGTCTTTTGGTACATACAGGGTTCCGTACAGATCATCAACGTTCATCAGAGGATAAAGGTCCTTGGTCTCCGCGGGGGACAGGACATGGGACTCTATACCGTAGACTTTACCCAGCTAGAAATTAGGGGAGATTTCAGGGTTTATTGGTTATATTCTCTGCTAAAATAATTGTTTTCCACTTATTTGATCATGTGCATCACCTTTATACTTCAAATGAGAACTTTGCACAACACTTCCTGAAGGAGGAGTTTGTTATCAGCCACCAGCAGTATATTATTAATTAGGATTTAACTGAGGATTGTTTTGAGCAGAATATTTTTACTGCTTCATGGCTAGATCAGGTTCACTCCGTGGGGGGGGGATGGAGTCTCATGCGTACTTTGCACTTCAAACACACATACCCAAGGTACACAAAGCCTTTTTGCCAATCATGTATGTGTGTTGAGCAATTCAAGACCCAAATATTAAGTCTGCCATTTAAAGCCCAGAGGAACAGCTGAAAATATGTTACAACTATTAAAAAAAAAAAACTGCTAATTAACTGGGAGCCTGAGCTGTACACACTAATCAAGTTTATATCAGGTATTGCTCTTTGGTAATTGTGACAACAGGGTTCATCACCTCAAATAACACAATTATTTATGAACCGTTATTTGTTGGCAGCCCTCTAAATTACAGAAACAATTAACATTTTCTTTAGAAACCTGGGGAGAAAATGCCAATAAACATCAAATCCCTTGCATGCACTTTAGCAGCCTGTTTACATATGCTGTCTACATACAGTTGGCAGTGATCATATGAATCTCTTACACACAAAATGATTTTGGAACCATGGATTAGTTTTGTGGAACATTACTGAGATTTACCGTTTTTTGCATATAGCATAAATGTATTGCAATTTTCAAAAAAAGAAAAATTCTTATGCATTTTCTCTGTCTTCTACAGTCCTTTTAAATCAATGAATCAATCAATGAGTGAAATAATAAAATAGAGCTTTTATTTCTATGACTTTATTTCACTTCATGGAGCAGAAGATCAATGTTTTTTTATCACATAAAACAAACTTCGATCTTACCGACATGAGGCGCTTGTACTCGTCCAGCCTCTGCTTGTTGGAGGCGATGAAGAGTCCTCCGTTCTGGATCCAGCCTGTGTGGAGACCCGTCTCCTCCTCCAGGTCTTTGCTGATCACGTTCCTGGTGTGGGCCAAGAGCTCTACCTCAACATCACTGGGACGGAGCTGCCACAGAAGGCCTAGTGAACACACATACTTCATCATGACTTGAAGAACGGGATATGCAAAAAAAGGATACAGTTTGTGGTGCAGAGAACATTTAGGGTGTATGGTTTAATTCGATGCGGTTTGTTACCTGCAGTGTGCCAGGTGGTGCCAGCAGTCAGTCGGTCTCTCTCCAGCAGAACTACGTTGGTCATCCCCATCTTAGCCAGGTGGTAGATGGTCTGACAGCCCAGACTGCCTCCGCCGATCACCACTACATCCGCTGATCTGAGGCAGGCGGCAGGTAACCACAGGTGAGCTGCGGACATGGCTTTTACATTGGGATGAGGGCGACATTCATTTGAACCAAATCAAAAACAAAAGGTAATTTTGGATAAACATACATAAAAGTGTATTGTATCCATAAAAAAGGATTGTTTAGATTTTGTATTATTGAGTAAAAGATTATAACTATTTATAAACCAAACAATGAAATGACAAGTTAAGGGATCCATAGATCACCTGCAGTCTGTTCTCATCATTGCAGAGGTCATCATGACCATTACTCCTCCATTATCAACCGATCCATAATGCATTGATCGTTGCACGAACCCTCAACTTTCCCCGCGGTTTGTTTATTCTTAATGCAAACCGTAAGAATTCAAACAGAAGCTGGTCTTACAATACAAAAACTACTGGAGGTTAACGGTCACTTTTGATACGGTTAACATCATCCATCCAGTAAGCCAACCTGGGTAGCGGTTTAGTGGGTCCAGAGGAGGCGTCATCCTTTTGTTGGAGCGTCTTCTCGTAGGGAACACTCTTTTCCTTAGTGGGCTCCGAGCTGTAGGACCGGGCGGTCGTCCGGCACAACGGAGAGAGAGGAGGCCGCACTGCCGACGCCACACGCCGGACTGCACGCCCAAGGAACGCCATGGCCCCTGAGATCAGCCACAGGACACAAATAAAGCAGGGCGATGCTGCAGGAACAAGTGGATTGTACTCATGCAGAGTACAGTTGTATGTGTAATACAACTTTCTTGAAGGTTATTTACAGAAAAAGCAAATCCAAACCAAAGATAACACACATTTACAGTCAATGCATATGCAAAGATAAGCCAAACTAAGTCTCAAAATAATTTGTGCATTATTTCATAACATTCACAATATGTTCAGTCAAACGGCAGAAAGAAATGTTATTTTTCCCTCATAGAGATCACGGTTCACTGCGTTGTACATTATTGAAAGAACACTGGGATGCAACTTTGTTGCAATACCGATCAGTAATGCAACAAATGCAACAAAGTTGCAGCTTTGTGGTTCGAACCACATTCGCGAGTCGGCCGTTTACGGAGACGTTTGGCGGAGTGACTGTGTAGCTCCTACTCTGCTTCAGCGGAGAAGCATATCATTGCTTTAGTTAACTGACACTGACGTTATGTCAAAAATAAACCCAACCGCCTGAGCAGATCCGAGCTGTAACGTGGCACAGGCGCTGCTGCTGCTGCGTGGAAAACAACCCGTGCGCCATGACGGAAACGGGCTCCATGTGCACTTACGCTCGGTTCCTCTTTCAACGATGGTCCCAGAAAACACACTCAGGGCGGGGGCGGGAAAAAAAAAAGTTTGCAAGATTTGAGTCACGAAGTAAAAATGGCCCAGTACTTGTGTGTGTGTGTGTGTGTGTGTGTGTACCGGAGACCAGCCGCGTGTCAAAGCGTGGCGGCGTGGGCTGCGATCCAGCAGCTGTCAAACCTGCACCTCGCACAGCACGAGTGGTCAAGTGGCAGCTAAAGGGGGCGGATCGACAGTTTGCAGCCCAATCACAGCTCCAAACCCGCCCCTTTCAATACAGACAGTCCGTATTTCTGCTCTGTCGTGAAATATATAATGTATATGTGCAAAGGTGTGTGCGTCTGGCACAACATTACAATCCTTGCAAAGCACTTTGTTGCTATTGTTGTCTAACCATATATAGCCTATATATATATATATATTTAGATATATTTTTTTTCTATATATATATATATATATATATACACACTCGTAGACGTGAAAGTTGTCTATATTGATTAATCACAAACTCTTTTTTAAAGACATTTGTAGAGGGTTGAATCCGCTGTACGGTAAGGCCTTGAGACTCCCAGGTGAACATTGCAGTAGCTACTTAATTCTAATAAGGCTGTTGGCTCTGACCTGCTGTATGCGGTGTACACTACTAACAGCATTCTCCTAGTTATCTGGGAGGAAGTGTATGAGCACGTGCTTAGCTCTCTAAATGCAAATGGCCACTTTTGGATATTGGTTAGCTCACCAGGGAGCACACGCTGTTTTATTGATTGGGTAATTTAGTAGCAAAGCCAGTTATTGGGCTGTGTACATCCTGAGTAACTTATATTTACATGAGATGAGTAAATTCATTCACAGGAGAATGGCAAGAAGTCGATAAATCTGGAGTTTTATTTAGATTGATTTATAAAAACTGCGTGTAAGGGGACATTAGGGCAGCAGCTGTTGCTCAGAGGCCTCGCGGTCCACAGACCAAACCAAGCAGAAGCACAACACACAATCTACAGGAAACATCATGAATGTAGAGTTTGTATGCGTGAGAAATGTAATAAACGGCCGTGGTAATCTTGCAGCAGGGGAATAAATGCTGATTATATGGTTTGAAAATCAAAAAGACAACCCTGCTTCCCCCCAGCAGCACAACACCATGAAGCCGTGGGACTGCAGCTTTGAGCCGTATGCAATCCGCTGCCTGCCAAGCTGACCTCATGATTGCACAACTCCAAGCCAGCAGCCAATAAGGCGCTGAGTTTAGGTTCACTCCTGTGCGAGGAGGTTCTCTCCTGTTCATACAGCCCGAAGCAGGAGAGCTTAAGAGCTGCAGCCGATCGCTCTGTGTGTGTGTGTGTGTCTCTGTGCGTGTGTGTGTGCGTGTGTGTCCTGGCTGTCTACACCAACATTTGACCTTTGTCGTATTTTTCCAAAACCCTTTCATGTAGCTGAATTACCATGTTTCCAAACTGGTCATTAGGGGGCATGACGAATACACACACACACACACCTTTACATCCACATACATGTACAGTGTGTGGTATGCTTATGCAAACAGCGCGCCTATCTTGTGAATGTTGCAACCTTTAGTTACTTTTCCTGCATTCGGATCTGTGGCACGGTGCTGCAGAAGGAAATAAGGTCAAGTAATCCAGATGATCCAACTCAAGGAAGTCGTAGCACAGCTGTATGCCTACGGCTAAACATGTGTGTTGGCATACAGCCGTTTGTGTGTGCAAAGTGTGTGTGTGTGTGTGTGTGTGTGTAGAAAAAAGCTCTTTAAATGAATTAAATGTTGAAATTATTTCTCGCTCTGACGATCTGTATGTTTCACTGATAGTTAAGAAGACTTCTACATGCTGAGTGACATCACGTAACATCACGATACAGCTGGATAAATATTATATGATAGGACTTGCTGCACCTTAACTTTAACAGAACAGACAGCGTTGCTCCTGAAATACTAACATGTTTGTTAAAAGGTATATGAATTAAATAAGTTATTTCACTATTATACAAGTTTATGAATAAAACAATAACTGTGGTCGCCCCCTTTTCAAATTTCCATTTGGGTCAATTCTTTGAGTTAACAAAAAGAAGAACGGAACCATCTTGTGGTGGATTTCTGTCAATGCAACACCTAAAAGGGCTTTTTATTCGATTGACCACGAACCTCTCTGTCAACAGAAAGTTTATTAACGGATACAAAACTCACAAGCACAATGACATGAGAAAAACTACTACAACAGTATCCTGTTGTAAAATGTCTGAATACAAATGTATTGCTCAAAGACACAAACACAGAGAGGCTTTTGTCAGAAAGGCAATTTGCTTTCTTTGCATCACGTCGTGTGACTCACCCGTCAACTTTATCAAGAAACACTCGACAAATAAATTAAGACATATGAAGGAAAAGATGACTTGTTTAGAATCATTTAAATCCATAAAGGGCATCAAAATAACATCAACATTTGAAGATTTAAGGTTCCCAGTGATGCTTCCAGAGTGAGCAAGGCTTTGTTTTACTACTGTTTACAGTTTCAATTGGGTTGCATTGCTTGGCAACAGTTTGGGTGTGACAATTATTAAACTGGGTCACTTTTGGAACGTTTACGTCGTGTAATGATAAGTAGGCATTTTACATTTGACTTTTCACTTTGAACATCATTTCAAACATAAGTACAATGCAGTTGGTTTGCGAAAGCTGATACCAGGAGTTCACATCTCAACGTTCGTGATTGGTTTACGCAAGTTTCCCAAATGTACTTACTGAAAGTATGTGGTAATTGGTGATCCCAGTATATTATAAACATGACACACACTGTACACGGACTAGTTGTGGAGTGTTATTATACTGACAATATATACTTTTAACTCGCACCCGAATCTGATCCTGTCGTTTTCAAAGTGTGTGGTGTGTGTACATTTTGTGGTTTTAGCTCAAGAATAATGGATTATATTATATATATTCTAGTCTATATGAATACCGTTTCGGTACTTCAAAAAAACATTTTTAAAGCCAGAAGGCAAACAAACAATAACAAACTGACCTAAAAATCTTCCTTTCCTTGGCTAAATGTGAAAAACATAAAACACAGAGGAGAAGATAGTCTAATGAGTCGATGCCTTCTGATTCAAATACTTAATGTATGTCAAAACACTTGACTTCCATTTAGTTAGTTTCACTTACAAAACCCTTTCATAATATATTCTGGCGCCACTGAAACGGTCTCATATGGTCCCTGGAAACCAAAAGGCACATGAGCTTTAAAGCTCTGAAGACAATGGGAATATTGATTGGAGTCAGAATAGTTTTGGGCTGAATGCAAGTACGTATCTGGATGAAAAACAACATGAACAACCGGCAGACAGAGTTAACTGGGAAAAAAAGGAAATACTACCGATACCAACAGCAGACTTTGACTTGTGAACAGTGCAGCTACTGAAGCCTCAGTCAGCACACAAAAGTTACCTCTCTGCCGCCGATTTGAGATGCTGTCCAATTAACATTACAGGAATCCAATCATCACCAGTATTAAAAGACATTTCTTTACAAACAACCTCATTTAACACCGTCCCTGATGTTGTTTTCCCATCCAAAGCCATACTCTTGCTGTCAGTGTGCAGCAACTGAGAATAAAAGTCTGGCAAAAACACTCTCTCCTCGGCATCTGGCTCTCCGACCTTGAGGCCGTTTTGACCTTCGGGGCTCTCCAGAGTTGCGTCGGCTCCGGAGCCGCTAAAGTTCGTCCTTGTAGGTCGCTGACAGCACGTCGGCTGGCGGCGGGGCCCCTTTCAGGGTCTTGTGGGAGCCCCTCCAGTCGGTGCGCACGTTGTCGTCGTCCCACAGAGTGGACGTCTCGGTGTCGCTCACCCACTGGGCATCGCCGGCGTAGTGACACGGCTGGACCACAAGGGGGCGCGTGCTGAAGGCTTGTAAGTTTCTGTTGGGGAAATGGGACTTGTAGTCCTCACTGCGAACAGAGAACAGTGATAAAGATCATATAGATTGGATTTGTTTGAATATGAACTTTAATATATTACCGGCCTGCATAAGAAAAACAAAACCATCGGACTAAAAATATTTGGGTCTGGTTTCAATACGTTTTCATCTTCAATCAAGATTGCTGTTATTTGTGGATTCATTTGGAATCCACTGATTTTGAAGCGATGTCAAAAACCAGAGACTCCTGCTCGAGCTTCTCTTGGCGTGGAGGGCGACCGCAGCGCCGCTGTGTAGTGTGCGGCCGGTGTGCGTCCTTTGCCGACTAGTCAAGCATATCGAATTAGAAGCACAGAGGTGAGAGAGAGAATAGAGAAAGTGGGTTGGCTATAAGCCAGTTCTCCACACATGACGGAGCACACAGACACTGCCAAGCCTTGTGGTTTGCAGCCCCCCCCCCTCTTTCAGCCCCGAGGTGCATTTCTTCTGTAAGAGTCAGTGCCCCAATATGAGTCTCGGTTGGTCTGCTAGATCATGACTGTGGGATGATGAGAAAAGTCCTTTGAGGGAGATTGGGGTTAGAAACTGGGTCAGGGCTGCAGAAATGCTGAAAATGATTAGAAAAAAAAGAGATTCTTGAGGTGAAGTGTATATTATATAAAACTAAAGTGTTCTCAAGATGACACAATTACTGCAAGTCACTATTTATATTTAAACATTTAAGTCATGATGTCCATGCGGATATTCTAATGTTCGTAAGGTATGAGGTTTACCATGCTAGTGGTATTAGTTTAGGGTGTTAAGCATGCAAACACATTAATTGGCACTAAACACAAAGTACAGCCGAGGCTGATGATTGTGCTCAGTTACATTACAGGTCATTTAGCTGGCGCTTCTATCCAAAGCGACTTGCATTGCATTTTTAACTCATGTTTTTTTAAATTTTTGCCCGGGGAGCAATTAGTGGTTAGGCGTTTTTGCTCAGGGACACTTCGACAGGGGACATGGAGCAGACGGGGCTCAAACCGCCAACCTTGCGGTTCCCAGCGCACCCTCTCTACTCCATGCGCCACAGTCAAAGTTCTTTCTTCTGGAAAGTCAGTACTAGTTCTTGGCAATCGGTCCAATCGGTCGAGTTGTCAACACATTTAATTAAAAACAGAAATGTGAACCTCCTGGAAACAAAAGTCATTTGGATTCCTCCTCATAACTTCATTCATCCTGCTGAATTCACCGCCCAAAAAGCTGAGCACAAGTCTGCCACGGACACATCTGTTTATATAAACATTTTCGATATTTGGTTCATACATACTTGGGATGTTTGTCATACATGATGGGGAGGAATTCATCGACAGGGAGCATCTTGGACAGCGGCTCGGCGTTGAGCAGTTTCTGGGCTCCCTGCAGGGAGACGGCGTAGGACAGAGTCCAATGCGAATAGCCGGCGACTGCCAGGTTGTGAATGTTCTCCACTGCCTCCTCATTTCCAGGATTCACCTGCTTCCTGCCAAAGTATCTGCAACAACGACAAGCCGACAAGAAAAAAAACTACGGCTATATATAGAGATCCAGAAACCTGCGGCGAGGCCGATGTTCTGTGTTGCCACATGTGCTGGAAATCATTTTGGAGGGTTGTCTTTTTTTTTGCAAGATTTGCTCTGCATCTGTTAACCATTTTCAGGACGTCACGCAAACACAGTATGAAGGAAGACGCTGGTACATTTCCAATCTTCCCACAGAGGGATTGTTTCAACGGGCCTTCGATCTGCGTCTGAAGTTTACTCTGATAATCTGAATTGAAAACATTGATTTCGATGTCTTGCAGAGACCTTAACCACAGAAACACGGAGACACAAATGAGGGATGTGACTGGTCGCTGCCTGAACAAAAAGAGGGAGAGTACAACGTGTCCATCTTACATGATGTCCCAGTCCAGCTCTGCCTGCTCCACCTCCTCCATCAGTGTGAGGACTCGTCGTTTGAAGTTGGCTTGGAAACGAACGTCGTCCTCAAAGACCAGCGCCTTGTCCATCTGCAGGTCCACCATCTGAGGAGAGAGGGACCAACAGATGCTCAAAACTAACGGAGAAACAAAGACCGGGCGGAGACGAAGACGGATGAGTCTCAAGTTATTAGCCAGTAGCAACAACATTTTAAGTCCATATTTTTTTATATATTTATACCTGAAAAAGTGCAGTGAATGCAATTTTTTGACCGCTTTGCATTTGATAATCAGATTGGATACAAAGTCCTGAGAGAAATCCTTCTATCCGATGCCAAGCTTAATCCTCTTAATGCCGTTATTTTACCTGTAATATTCTCACTGTCAGTCAAACCAATAAAGATGGGGTTTTTTCTCACCTCCTTCCAAATGAAGTAGTGGCTGAGGAAGCAGCCCACCTCTCCTTTAGTGAGGGTGCGTCCGGAGAACGGGTCATAGTACCCTGGCAGCAGGTCAACGCCCAGGAGCTTAATGTCACTGCTGTTCAGTGCACTGCGCGCGCGCACACACACACACACACACACACACACAGGTGTTATCATATTTCCAAGGGGAAAGAGTAAAGGGAGGGACCGCAGATTAAGGGATGCATATCTTTCAGCTGTATTCAGTCGTACTCACTTCCCATCCACGGCGTCGACCACCTTGACGTCGACCTCAAGCTCGTTCAGAGAGAACAGCATCCGGTCCCTGCGGTCGGGACGCCGTCGCAGATTAATCAGATATATCTGGGCAGAGGAGGACAATAAGTTGTTTAACTCGTATTACTGAAATGTTTGTGATTAGACAAGTCTGTACTTTTTTTAAACTAAAATTCTTCTGATTTTTTTCAGTAACAACAGGCTTCCCTTCAGTATTTTGTGGCCCATTGTGTGCGATCAAAACGTCACCATTTAGATAAATACCGATCAGGATTTAGTGCAATTATGTAACAATAAACCCCAATAATGTGACTTTGTGATAATCCTATTAGACTCAAACGCTGCGACGTTTGGTTAAAAGGTACAGACGCAAAATTAATATTCAAACAGCAAAATTGAGCAGAAAAAGATAACGACACGTCTCTTACCTCATCAAAGCCCATGAGGTCTCTCTGTTTAGGGAACATATGGACGTATCTGGACGGGCGCATTGGAGGACCATCGACTGTTTAACGAAGAGGGTAAACGGTTGGTTTGATTTGCATTCCCAGTAGTCAGCATCCGTCGTTAACAATATCAAGAGCGAACGCAATCTGCTCTTACTCATGGACTCGAGTTGGACGTGGACAAAGTTGAGACGATCGTCTTCCACGGTCTGGTGAGGCTTGGCCGGGACGTTCAGGTAGCCGTAGCGCTCCTTGTTACACAGATACATCTGCACCTCTGATCGCCATCAAAGATGAATCATTAGATCATTTCATTGGCTCACGGGCCGGACATTCAATTCCCTCCCAAAAGACGGGAAGGAGCTCTGACCGACCTGCGGCGCGGCAGGAGAAGGCGAACACGATGATGTCGTCGTAGGGCCACGAGTAGTCCTTGTGAGGCGGGTAGAAGGCCAGTTTCTTCATGCCCTCCTTCCGTAAATCCAACAGCACGGTGGAGTGGATCATGGGCACGGGGAAGCAACCCAGCCTGTGGCGATGACGCGTTGGGAAATACTCTGCCGTTCGGCGGTAATAACCCTTGAGTGTGAGAGAGAGATGGTGTCAGAAAGTGAAGAAATGTGTCATTTTTGGATGCGGCCAATGTTCTCCAACCCAACGGATTGTCCCTTGTAAAAGAAGATGCATCACTATCAGCTCCACGCTCACCTGTGGAGTGATGCCGCACCAGTAGTTGGAGTACGCCCCCTGAGAGTCCAGCATGGGGGCGATGGCTGACTTGTTCTCTGCCATCATCAGGTTGAGGGTTTCGGGGTTGGTGAGGATGTTGTCTGCGTCGGCGTACTGAAACGAGGCGAGAGAGGGGGAGAATAGGAGAGTGACCGCAGTCGTTTTGTCTCCGCAACGAGACGAGCTCGTTCTTGGATGGAATAATAAGCAGCAGAGAGGGAACAAATGTGATCTTATCACGTACCAGGATGTAATCGGCCCACCGTTTCCTGGCGAAGTCGAGCGCCGCCTGCTTCAGCTTCATCACGTACTCGTATCTGCTGTTGGGCCAATGCTTGGGACCCGACTCTCCTGCGTAGGACCTAAACAAAGAGGCACATTAAGCACATTACAGCATATTGTTGCGCTGGCTTTCCATTCACTCATGCCTAACGTAATTAGGCTGAATGGTTTGAATATGTTAGAGCCACTGTACAACCAGCTTAAAAAACAGCTAGGCCGACAGTTAGGTAAGGAGATTAGCAGTCAAAACGTATGATTGGCATGCACAAACAATTTCCAGTAATGGCCTTTTCGACTCAGAGGCACGTCCACACGGTCGGGGCTTACGGAGAAGAAGAGGCGTGTTGCATCATTCCTTATTAATGCAAAGTGGAAAAGTGTGTTATCTTTATGCAAGCGGTTGCACCGCAGAGGTCATAAGAGACGAGTTCATGTCGCTTGGATCTACACAGGATCTGGAAGGCGTTTGCTTCCCCAGATCCCTGCTGTGAATACGATACATGACAGTCGCACTTACGTGGGCTTCTCCATCGGTCTCCACTCGACATAATGGTAGAACGTCTGCATGACGGTGAGCCACTCCTTCAGCACGGCTGTGGTGTTGTCGGTGTTGTGATCCGTGGCCGCCCTGGAGAGCACAGGGGAAGCAGGTCGTAAGACTGGGGGCTGATGTTTAATGAGGGGGGGGAGTTTCCAACACATCGTCAAGGTGGATAAATAATAACTCTAGCTTATGTTTTTTTAAGCACATTCTTGATCAGGGGGGAGCAGTCCACGGTTACGATGTTATTGCATTTTGATATTCACATCAAATGTGCCTTCAAACTCTTTTTCTTCTAAGCTTCCAACTATTTCTAAGAAAGTTGGTTTCTTTGCAAAGCAGAGGCCGCCGCAACATCTCTGGGAAGGCGCAGGCCATTTGGTGCCTACATGTTAATTAATCTGATCGATGTTTGCGTCACTCCGACAAAGTATTATTACAACTTGTCAATTGATTTCTAGAAAACCTCCTTTATTACGGTCATTACTGATACGGTCACGGAAGCTTTGATTTGTATGAGGAATCCGGTATAAACACATTTATCGTTGACACATGGCCATAGAGTATCAGAGCCACTCTTATTAAATCCAGTTTTACTAAACACAACTGTAACTTGACAGAAGGGGAGTTAAATGAGACAAGGGGTCACTTTAAGACGCATAAAGTACACTGAAGTGTCCACAGAGGCGTACAGAGGATAATTCAGCTTGTGGTTTTTAAATCACTAACGTCAGTTATATTTGCATCACAATGAGTGCTGAGGAAAGGTTATCAGTTACTACGAGCTCCACAAAGGAAGAACTAAACAAAAACGAAGGCGGTCCGCAGTGGGGAGCGAGTGCGCCGGAGTGGAAGGCGCACAGGGAACAGGGGAGGTATTTTTTTGGGGGGGGTTCTGCTGCTGCTGCTTTCGCAAACTAATTTAAATGCCAATGACCTTTTGATCGGCTGCCACGGTGGGTTAAAGGAGGGAGAAGGGGGGACGGACGGGGGGGGGCAGTGCATGCAGGAGAACCCACCACACGGAGATGCGATCTTTGGGGTAGTTGAGTCTCTCCAGAGCACCGAGGTAGTACGGCAGCGAATGTGCGCTGTTCCTGGCTAAAATAACGACGACCACCGTGGGGGGCTGCATCCTCGACTCCTCCGGGTACATTTCCTCCGAAAAGTAGCCGTCGGCGAGGAAAACGAAGGCCCCCAAAGCTAAAAAGCGCAGTAACATGGTGGAAGCGGCTCCTCTGCGCGGCGCCGCCTGGACGCGTCAGCAGTCCAAGAAAGACTCGCCTCCCCCACCCTTTACTTCCCTCCCCCCCCCCCGGTTTATCCTACAAGGTTGCTCGCTTTTTCCGGGGACATGTCCAAACGGACCCGGAGAGAGCGCCGATGTTACAACTTCCGCCCCGAATCGGGGGCGCAGGAACAGCGTGGGAAGGTTCTCCGAACACGGGGGCGTGATTTGGCCACATTTCGGGGTTCCTTCGTAAATCTCCGGAGACGCGTCTGAGAGCTGGACGGTGACGCGCGGGAGTCAACGTCATTGTCCAAAATCACAGTTTGTCCTCGTAATTCACCCCCCCGCGTGCCGAATATCAACGAAACCGGTTACAAAAACCGTTTTACGGGGAAAATGAAACATCGTTGCTTGTATCGTCAGCTGCGGCTCTTTTCTCGATGTTACACTGTTTGCGTAACGTGTCAACCGATACATGATGCACATATAAAAGGCACTTTACGTGTTCATAGCTTACACATTGGTAATGAGCGTTTATTTGCATGGGATATAAGTTGGCGAACATCACGTCAATAACTGTTTCTAGTGTGTTGATCATTGCTGCAGTTTCAGGGATCCACCAGCAGAGGGAGGAACTGAGCCAAATGAGCCCGCTGTTGAAGCCGTGTCAGACCGGTTTGTCTGGCTCATGGCGAACGGTAACTAGATGTTCTCAAATACTGCACATAAGTAAGTGTACGTGAGTATTTTTTTATATTGCAGTACGTGTATCTGGCAATGATAATTACTTGTATGTTTGCAACTTAAAACACACATGATCAATTTACATTATGTGATGCATTGTTGCAAATTAAAGTGCACAACATACATGCGGTATAAAGGAGTTTGAATGTGATGATATATTCATTTTACTGAAAATCCCAGTCTATTGAGCTGCTCCTAGAAGTTAAAGGTGCAGTGTGTACGATTTGGCCACATGCCCTAAAAAAAGAAGACAACTGGCTCCACACAACCTACAGCCACTCTTATTAAAACTAAACACTGAAACTCTGAGAGCGGTCTTAAAAAACAATGCAAGAAAAAACTGACAAAAACGTGTAAACGACAACAAAAGGGAGACTTCTTCGCTGAGAGGAGAGTGAGCGGCAGCTCCGGCAGCTCCGGCAGCTCCGGCAGCTCCGGCAGCTGGACCTTTACAGCAGAAGCACAAATGACGCCAATACAAACCCCATCTATTGATCTATGCAACACAATACAACCCACTGTGATCCATTCACATTTGGGTTGATTGTTTGTTTTTTAACAAAAACTGGCCAGATCTTACACAAGTACTTTTCCATCACTCTAATCACACTTTTTTATGGCCTGTTGTGGGTCCAAAGCCACTATGAGATCTCAAAAAGACAATCCAAAAGTTGTTTATTTTCATATCTGCTGCTAAAAGAGGAGCCCATTGATTAGCTCACACAGCGGTTCTTAGCAACAACATTGGAACATTTCAGGTATCTCAAGAGTTCCTCTGAGATTTTGAACGCGACCTGTAAGTGTCATTGACAAAAGGGTCAGTTTCAAAAGGCACATTATGTTTACGCGTGTTGGATCGCTTACCGATTGGAACAAGGTCAACGGTAGAGGAACAGGACCGGTACGTGGATGTAGCTCCCATTACTCACTTCAATGAAGGTCAACAGATTATCTTTTATATTTCCCCTCTATAGGGTCATACCTGGTATGTGCTTGCATCTCCCGCACTGAAGGCAACACGATTAGCTGCAGTGGAAAACCTTGAACCTCATCAACGAACCCAGGTGGAGCATTTTGAGAAACTCCTTTGACAGTTGTGCTTGAGACTGTTTTCAAAAGAAATAAAGAAATACGTGGACCCAGTCCCATCGCAGGTGACATCCTGCATGTTTGAATCATCTTACTCTGAACTCTGCGCCACATCCCTCCTTTTAGCAGATGACACGTGTTGGGAGTTTGATAGATTACACTGTATCAATTTGAAAGATTACACCGTGTCACCAAACTAACAATCTGAATTATAGAAACAATGTCAAATCTGTCGTTCTCGAGTTGCTCACGAATACTAAGAGTATGCATCTGCGTGAGATAAATCTCATGTCAGAAGAAGAATGCTTGTGTGGGAGTACAGATCGGAGCAGCTTCAGGGAAACATAAAAACTGTTCATGTACAAAAATTATTTAAAAAATCCAAAAAGGATAAAAGATGACGCATTGACTGGGGTTTTTACAGTGGTATATATTTTTTTGATCATTGAGTATAGGGCTAAATCTGAAAAGAAAATAGTATCCAAATGATAAAGCGCTAACGCCCAATTATCTCAACGTTTCTGAGCAAAAAGAGGGGGGAAAGCAGCAGGAGACAGAGAATGAGCATGTTGGAAAGAATGGTGGAGAAACGGGGAGAGGCAAAAGGACATAAATGTGCGAAAAAAATAATAATATATACCAAAGTGGTATATAATGAATTTTGACTCCTTCGGCCGGCTCTCTGAATAAACAAAAGGCAGTCATGGCTGACAATGGCAGGGTCGGGCTAACGGGGTCGTTTGTGTGGACAGGTCAGAGGGGTTGAGGGTCAAATCTCTCCTATTCATGACACCCCAAGTGTTTCCACACTCACACTCAAACACACGCACACATTCGCATGTCGGGGATACTTTCCCAGCGTCGGTTGCGGAGGCAGATCTGGGAAAGTTCAACCTTGGGTGCACTAACTTTTCACTCTGAGGTCAAGGGTGGCGTTGGCGTTTGTTTGTGTGTGTGTGTGTGCGTGTGTGTGACAGAGAGAAAAAGGGGAAATCTGCATTATTTGGACCAGATTGCAAAAAAGAGACTGGGAAAAAAAGAAGAGGTGGATAAAATGCAGATATTGAGGTTTGTACTCGTGTTAAATGGGGGCGTGAGCCCTGGGATTTCTTCCTCTTTCCCAATACAATAGATGTGAATAGAATTTGAAGTGTTTTAGGGGCAATTCACCACTCGTTCTGGATAACACAGAGCCCTTGCTGGCACAAAATAGTGAAAACCGGAAACCCAAATGTTCTCCCGATTGTCCTGAGTAGCATTGACAATCATTTCTGGAAAAAGATTGCTACTGTATTATTCCATTGCTGGAAACCCCATTAATAAAATGTCATTCACCCCCATTGTACCGGAGCAGCGGCAAAATCAAGCAAGATAAACAAAAGCTATCTGCATGACTCTACTGAGCATAATGTGTTTTTTGGAGCTGCTCATGCACGTGTGCCCACAAATGGAGATGCCACCCATCTCTCTTTCGGCCAGGCAGGAGGGGAGAGGATGAGTCGTGGCTGCACAGGTAAAGGGTGAGTCGGAGGGAAAGTGCTTCTGTCTTTGCGTGTCGGGACCAGCGGCAGCTGTATAGGCAGCAGAGAGTCGTGACATTCTCACAAGCTTCCGGGACCTTTATTCGATAGCGTTCTCACCGAGACGTCTCTGGGCTGGGCGGGTCGATACCTGTCACTCAGGGCCTCGGTGGCACACACCCTCTTACTGAGCAGCTACACGGAGGCCTCGCTCCGTCTGCGCTCCGCCTCCCACGTCAACGCGCGTGTCTCGGGACGGTCACGCGTTCTGTCTCAGCTCATGTCAAATTCAGTGTCTGCTGACGGACATTGATTTTGGTTATTGTTAGCAATCTATATATCTCACTCTGTTTACCTGTTTACAAGGATCTAAAACAGTGAGAAAACAGCAGATCTTCACAATGAATTAAATGATTGATTATCTGAATTTTTTATCAATATATGTTTTTTGTCAGTTTGTCTTGGAAATTACAACCAGTTTAGTCTTTCAGAGCTGATACTATGGGTATCCATAAAATAAAGTCTGTATTCCATTTGATGTATTTCACATTCAGCAACTATTTAGTTACATTGATGAAAAGAAAAAAGATATTTGTGATTTTGTTCATTTATTTTTGCAAGGAATTTCGTCCTTCAGCTGCAGATGTACTAAATTGTTTCTGGGACAATGTTTTCTGTCAGTCAGTGTGGTTTTGTGGGGTCCCTAATAAACCCAAACATTCTGAACCTCTTTTGTTTGATGCAAGCACTTAAACAGAATTGCTTCAATAAAAGAATGACCTGCGGACGGCAAGTCGGGTCTTTACACACCACGGCTTAGTCAGCACAAGGAACGTGATGTTCAGACTGAATGCTGTGGGGATCCCTTAAATAATGAAGTCATGAGGTCAGGTATCGCCTCCAATCTGTATGTATATATCACTATATCTTTGTCATCATTTCATTGATTTAAAAAAAAATAACACCTGCCAAAAATAAAATACCTGCCGAATGAACTGATTTTGCATTAGATGATGATGACAATGAAACGTCGTAGAAATAGAGGTTATGAACAAAAAAACTCTGGATTATTACCTGTTTGGATGTTTTCTTCAGCTCATCTTTTACTTTTACAAAGCTACATTTTTGAGGCAAATGAGAGCGATGGAGTTGCTGGGGCTTTAGGAATTTCAGCTTTTTCAACTTTTAAAAAGCTCACAGAAATGTCAGTATGGGAGGCAGGTTCCCTCGTGTATCGTAGCGACATACAAAAACAAAGCACTGGATACTTTGGAGCCCTGTGATCTCTGCAAAGCCGTGTTGACATTAGCGTGGACCTCTCTGCTTCTCATCTTCTCTGTTACTCCCTCAGTGACGTCGCCATCCAGGCCCTGTCCATCGCCTCGTTGCCAAGCAACAGCGCAGCCACTGTCAAAGAATTCTGGGGGATGTTTAGGCAGCGGCGTGCTTTGGGAAAGGGAGGAGTGGTGGTTGGGGGGGGCAGAGGAGGAGTGTGTACTGGTGGTAGTTCAGAGAAGCAGGACACTCAGTTGTGCATTTATATGAGAATTTTATTTTAATCTTGTAATCTCGACGACTTGGTGATTTGTCAAGATCTATTTTACAATCCGGCCTTTCATCAGCGTCACGACCAACACGTCCTGATCTCTGGTGATTCAGTCTAAGAAAAAGCGTGGGCCTCGCATGCATTTGATGTTTGCAGTGGTCAGAAGGTCACA